TAATAACATGACTTCATTCCATTTTAAAAGGCTATCATCTAAGAAACATACTGATCTGTACACTCTTTTTTTTTTGCTCTGTTTCATTCCGCTTTTTTTTATATGACTGATAAAAAAAATTTGAAACAACTGTTTACATCTCTGTTCCTTCCTCTCAAACTTTGTCTCTGTAACTAACACGTTTTACTAGCACTTGGCAAGTCTCTCTAATGCGCTGCCACCAATTAATCTTATAGGAAAGAAATTTTATTTCTCTGTTGTTTCACTGAGGAAAATGCAGACACTTTTATGAAAAGGTTGCTTGATTTTCTAAAAGAGGTTCTTAAAGTTCTGCTTCTAGTGTGACGCCTTAAGAAGCAATTAACTGCGTTGGGAATACAGATCTGCTTGGCTTTCATTAGGTATGTGCTGGATGCTTCTGGAGATCCTTCCAAGTCTCCTTGTGAAGCCTTTTTTACCATCTACATAGAAGATCAATTTTCTAAAAGTGATAAGCACCCCACAAGACTCACTGGAAAAACAGGAAGCTCCACTAATATTAAGAATTTATGAAAGTTATACCACTTGCATAGGATGAAACATCGAACATTAGTTTCAAAAATCTTTCTGGTGGGCTTTTGCTCCAAAGGATTTGTGGATGGTTTCTGCACTCACTCAGTGACCATTGTAATTTCAGGAAAAGTAGGATAAGAGGCATAAGGATTTTAGAAAAACAAGCTACAAGTTTCAGTGCCTGGTCCTACTCCTTCTGATATTTGCAGAGGGTTTTTTTCTGCAGTTTCTTAAGCAAATACCTCTTTCCTATTTCCATTCTCCACTGAACACGCACTCAAGTCTGAAAGCCAGTCTGCCCTTCCAGATTTCATTACAACTCCATTTTTGTTGGAATTGTAAACCCAAGCACTATATGTGCCTGAAATAGCCTGTAAGCTCTTCAGGGCAAAAGGAAAAAAAAAAGTCTTTCATATGTTTGTTTGGAACCAGGCATTTCACATGGTAAATGTTGCTACTATTCATAGCAATACTAATAAATGCACCATACCGCCCTTGACATCATTGGTGTTATTGGATAATCTGTGCTGATGCTTAGCATTTGCCTCACATAATCTTCCCTTTTATTATTTATGTATTATCAGATTTGCTGTCAAGATTCATACACATAGTTACGACAGCTTATCCTGCAAGATATGCTGTGATACGTGGCCACTGAAGGCAATACTAACCCTTTTAGTGTACATTCTATTTCTTTGGATGCCTGGGATATTTAAATTAAAAAAAAAAAAAAAAGTAAAATGCCATTAAATGGGTGCAATAGGAGTCTGAAATTTATAACTGTACAGGCTCAGTGAAGCCAGTTAGGAAACAGAAGAATAACCAAAGCTGTGGTCACACAAAGTATAAGCTAGGTCTTCGGGAGCAAATCTGAACAAGTCTTGGAAAAATCAAGGAGATATCTGGCTTTTAAGTGGCTAAATTCAGCTCTGCTAATTTTTGACATTTTCTTTTGACCTGAATTGTTAATTCAACAGGCTTAACCTGAGACCTGGAAGGTGAACTGCTGTCTTTCTGGGCTTTGCCTCGTTATTCTTAATGACAGTCCTGCACCTGGGAACTGTGTAAAAACCAAATGTACAGTTTCAGCCAGGCTCACAGCCCCGTGAAACTCTTCACTGTTAACACAGGTAAACACCAACAGAAGATTCTGTAATGCAAGCCTTGGAATGACACATAGTAAACTTACTTACTGCATTTGTATTTCAGCCCCTTTTTAATACAATGCTTCGAGGTAAACAGTGAATTTCCACTTCCTTGTTAAAAGATATTCGTAGCAGAAACAGCTGTTGATAAACTGCAAAATCAGCCAAGTTTTTACCAGTGTTGAGATGGGAAAGACTGGTGATGACTGGAAGTGCACTTCTGCTGGACTGTGGGACATGACTTTATGTTTTAGAGAAGTTTGGCAAGTCACAGAATAGGAATAGGCACCAACTGTAAACCTTCTTATGGTCTCAAAGAGAGACTGCAGCACTAACTCAGTGTATGGATACAGCCACCTGCCCAAACCCTTGGTTTTTCATTGGCAGACTTGGACTAATCATAACATTTCCAAGGCTACTTGGTAGAGGTAAACATGCATGTAAATCCATATGTTTAAGGAAGCCCTTGGAGTTCATCCCTTGAACTTCATGTCCAGTTCTAGGCTACTGCTTCAATGCATTCTTCAGTAGCTACATGAATCTTTCCTGATACAGTTAAAAAGTCTTATTCTGACACTATGACAAACACACTAATATTCATTATTAAAATTTATGGTCAAGATTAAAGTATTTAGAAGACTGTAAACAAAAGGATTAAAGGAGTATTAGGTAGTGAATACAGGAGGAACTACACAAATAATATTTAAATATAGTCTGCTATGATTTTAAGCACAGCACAGGATGGACTAGACAGGAACAAATTAAAGAAATGAAGCTAAAGGTTAAGATTTGGATTAAGCTATTAACTAAGCTGTTAATATTATTTTACAACATCCATTTATGACGTACTCTTTCTATCATCCTCTAAATGTCCTCCTTTTCTCATTCTTCATCACCCTTCCTGCACTGACACTGAAACAATCCCTAGACACATCATAAAAGTAGACAGATGATTAGATTTTAGTTGGCAAGGAATTCAAATGAACTTCACACTTATAATTTTGGGATGCTGCCTGGATACACAATGGTACACAACTGTGGCTTACAAAGTAGCTTGGAGCCCTCAGTTAACATTAACAAGAACAGCATGTATGTAAGGGAACAGCAAGGACCAGAATAGATAACGCCCAGCGTGTCCCAGCAGAATCCTGAGTGGCTGGGACAGAGACCTGCAATCACCTTGGCACCCCAGGCTCTGGGGGTGTACATACCACCCATTCTGTGCACAAACGAGGAATGGTGCTGAGCTGGGGGGCAAAGTTCTCACTCCTTACTCATATAAAACCATCCAACAGTCCATCTTGAGAAATGCTAAAATCAAAATATGACTTGAGGTCTAAATTGCAGGCCACGAGCCAGTAACCAATGTGGTTATCTCCCCCTCAGAGCCAAACCCCACCACTATCTGTCCCTGATAGGGCTGCACTGGGCAAGCTGAGTCATTTTCTTCCATGTTAAGAACTCTCTGCTTTGTAGCTGCCCCTTAAACAACAGGAGGTTGTCAGGATTCTTTGCACACACTATTTTTAAAGCAGAAGTGCAGGATCCAGCTCCCAATCCAGTTAACTTGCTCTTGTTCCAGTTAAATCCATTGCAAACATTCAGCTGAAACCGGTATGAACAGAAGTGGATCCACAGTGATGCACTGCAGGGCCCACTAGCTTGTTTGATTTACTCCATGGAAAACTCCTGTCTGTACAGCTTTGGCTAAATATTTAGTATACCTGTCTCAAGTGAATCTCCCTAAATGTCAGCACATCCCATTGTTTTTCCAATATAAAGTCACTAGGAGACACATGCCAGGTTGAGCATGCCATTTACTCAAAATGAAACCCTTCATTATGCAAGATTAACTTTGGCATTAGGTACCTTTTGCAGCTAATTATTTTGTAATTTTAATTTTAAACCGGGCTTCCTGTGTGTTTACTCTGAAAGCAAGATATAGTACCTTACATATAATTTGTTTTCATTTCATTTTAATGCATTAAAATACATGTCAAATTTCAGAATTTTAAACCCTATAGACCAAAAGAATGTGAGAAGGACAGAATGTCTTATTATTAAAGAAATAACAGAATGTGACTTTGAATAAGTGGATCAAAGAAACATATTAGACCACTGATATAATCCTCAAAGCACACTGCATCTTTCCTACTTTTCTTCCTGAAGGTAATGAACTGAGAACAATTTCAACTAATAAAATTATAAGTATTAAAATAAGAGGCAATGGGAATTATTTTCTTAGAAATTCTGTTTTTACTATGTGAGCCAATTATTGTTCTATTTGTTAAATTCTACAACATTCTGAGCAGAAATAAATACGCAGAAAATACTTCCGTCAGTGTTTAAGTTACTGTATTTTAAGGTTTAAGTTTTATCTATAGGCTGAGGACACTCAGTGAGAGTTCAGTCACTAAGCAATAACTTTGCTCAGTGCCACCACCATCCCAGTTTCCAGAATGCTACCAGGACGATGACTAGGAGGAATTCTGACATTCAGCATTCTCTGTTTACAGTCCCAGCTCATCAGCCCTTCCCCTGCTTAAGCATTTTCATTTTCAAATTCCCCAGCATGTAACTAAAGACAAAGAAGGAATTTTTTCCCAAGTAGTGAATCAAGTAATATTGTCCAGCAATTCAGTTTCCTCTTAGAGAGAATTAAAATATTTTAAATTAATTAATTGCTAGAAGCATATTGTGATTCTTTGTTAGGGCTCTCATTTTACACACCTTGAGCTTTATTTTGAAAGTTAGTTTAAAAACAATTTAAAAGTGCTCTTTAATAGAGACTTTCTAATGCAAACTTTTCTTAAAAGGACAAAACATGCCCTGGACTACAAGAGCGAGCAGAATATAAAAGAATAATTGAAAATACAATGTTTATAAGCAATAAGAAACTGGTAGGTATGTTTAAAAGGGGTTCTCTCTCATCTATCCAATGCAGGACACAGAAAGTTTAACTGCAGGTTTGATATGGGAACCCTGGGGTCAGATGGGACTTTGCTCCCAGTTTTTACCAGTCTGCTGTTAATGTGGTGTGTGGGACACTACAGATCTGACCTTGGGAACAGCTGAATGCCATTCAACTGAAGGAAATTTGGAACCTGAGGTTTGTGATGTTCCATACTCTCCCCCACAATTCTGGAAGAAGGATTGTCGTCACTAACTCCCTATGAAGCTGTGCTATGTGTTAGCTAAGTATGCACTAACATGTTGCTGGATTTCAGGTGCAAGGGGTGGAATAGCAGGAATTTAAGGCAAACAGAGGTTTGTATTCACCCATTCTGTTGCAGCCTCACCCACCTTAAACCTTGGGAAAAAGGTCAGCACGCCCAGAGATATCATGGTAGAGGAACTCTCAACACTCAGCAACAGAGGGGCCAGACTCTTCAAGAGACGCCAGCGGAGATCTGATAAATACACATATGAAAATTATCATTACGTAGCAAACAAGCCAAGAAATGTGAGTATTTTGTACTGACTTATTAATGAGACAACAGCCAGGCTAGCCTGGGTTCCCTTGGTGTCCGTGATACAAACATTGTGCATGATCTATTTGTAGTTTCAGGAATAGAAGCAAACCCCTGTACTAGAATAAGGTTATTTGTATTTTATTGAGATCTTACAGATTACTAAAAAAAAATAAATTTACATTTCTTTTTATATGGTACAGATATTTCAAGATATTTCTCTGATCACTCAACAGAAGTTAAATTACACGAGGATAAAGTGGGATGAAGTTTGAGCTTTGATAAATCTGCCTTTTTAAAATAAATCTGCACAAGACAAATCCCGTATAAAAAAAAATCTGAATAACTCAATTAAACACCCAAGGTTATTCTTAAACACTGTTATTTAGAAGCCCATCTGAATACTGTCCCCCCAATTTCTGCCTCTATTGAGTATTAGAAGCTACACAGATAAATTCTGAGCACATCACCAATCTTGTCAGAATTCTCTGTGCTCTTCCATGATTTTGCTGCAGTCTGACAGATTCGTTTCCCTCTAGTCCCACAAAAACACAGAGTACACGTGGTGTACACTGAGTATGACATTCCAGTACATGAAAAAATGATGCCTCTGGCTCCTATTCCCTTCCCCTAAGTGTCTATTTAGCCACCACTGGTGGTGTCTTCACCATCGTTACGATTCTGCCTGCCAAAGTTAATCTTTCTAACGTCCTTCAGGATGACTGGAAAACATTCTGCCTTGATCTTTTTTTTGTTGTTGTTTCAAGTTTAAACACGTATTATTTGTTTGCTTTCCTACTTCAAGAAACTCTTACTCCAAACCAGCCTATATTTAAATTGCTTTTAGCCTATGTGTCATAGCTAAAATAAGATACTGACTTCTTAAGAGACTCTAATTCTATATTTAAGCAACAATGATTAAGCTTTCGGATGTTTCCTTAGAACCGATAACCCGATAGGAGGGTGGAAAATAACAGCATATCATGAGCCTCCAGAAAGTGACCTGCACTGAAATTGTTATTCCTATTACAAATAAAGGAAAAGACAATCCCAAACAAAAGCAGTTCAACAAATGCAGTGAGTTTTCAACTGATACGGGAAGAGACGCTTTGAAGAATCGGTGCTTTGAAACCCAAAGGGCTCAAACTTGCCAGATTTCTGGAACCTTTAGGGTAGAAAGAGTGGCACAGAACATTTTAATGTCAAATTAAAAGCCACAGGGGACACATTTTATGGGCCTCCCTGTCAAAGTGACCGGAGCTGTGAATCACCCAGCCCATATGCACGGGAGATTCTGTGGTGACTGGTGTAAGCATCACATGGGATGAACACTCTTCACAGACTGCTTATCAATATTTAAATATCCCAAATATAGGAAAATGCTGGACAGCTCGGCTGGACGGTTGTAATTTAGGAATCCTGTTGACTTAGCTCAGTTTGCCTTAGGACAGTACACCCTGGGAATCAGATCTGGGCTGTGCACTGGAGTATCATTCCAACCTCACCAGGGAATCCCGGTTTGCTCTGCCTGTAAGTGATATTTCTTTCCCTCTGAGTGCAGCGTGGGGAGCCCATCCCGAGCGTGAGAATGGACGGCCTCAGCGTGGAAGGAATTCCCCAGCACGCCCCAACGACACCTCCCAACACCCCCGACCCCCGGAGCCCACCACACCCTGACAACATTGCCCCAGGTAACGTGGCAGTTTACAGACCTCGCACAGGTTTAGTTCCCATTTCATAGCAGAGAAAGGACCTTTTGATAAAGCAGAATTTGTTCATAGAAGGGGATAACTTTGAGTTATAACTATAACTTAACAGAATCTCTCACAGAAAGCTAAAGTGGTGGTCTTAGTTGCTTCTGCTCATTTGTCAAAGATCTGACATATCCTCTGTACTACTTCTCCCTAAACTGAAAACATACCTTAATATCAAGAGAGACTGCTCCTGTATTTATTGGTCCTATAAACATTGAGAAAGAGATCCTCAGATTTAAAACCACATTAATATACTGAGTTTTCTTTGCCAAACCTTGGTTTCTAATACACGACACACTGCTCAACAGTCTGAAAGTTAGTCATTGTAGTTTAATTACCCATCAACGTAAATCTGAAGTCACTAAGTTTTGCTAGAACCCTTTGGAGAGAAGTAACTTTAAAAGGGATTTGCCTCTGGCTGCATAAACTGTTCTTTTTTAAATCCTTAACTGTGGGGGTACTGTTGGCTTTATTTAAAGCAGTGAGCTACAAGAAGGCCTTATTTTGTATTCTTTAAAGAGTAGAGAAGGCTAATTTGTTTTAATTAATTTATTCAGTGATATAGCCCTTCTTCCTGTTTATGAATTATCCATGAGCAGCTCGTGGCTTTTACAAATTCATTCTTTGTTCAGAATTACTCAATGCATGTTTTGTGCAGACCTTTTCCAGTCCATGCAAACTGGGTCAGTGCTGCTCTGTCAGTGACTGCTGAGGCTCTGTGCATCCACTGGGCAAATACAATGCAAACAGAGACCATTTCCATTGCTTAGACATGATACAAATCTTCAGGCCTTTCTTTAGGCAAAAAAAGTCTGGCAAAAGGAGAAGTTATTAAACCACAAGGGGTTTTTAAGTTTATAGAAGGAAATAAAGGTACTTTAAAGACTTAGATGTAGTGGGAGGGTAAAAGGGTAGAATAGATCTCCCTTGTATTTCAAATAAATATTGTACCTCACATAATTGGTCAGTCACTTGCTGGTTTTAATTCTTCAAACTGTACATTAAGGTTTGTCTTCCCCCACAACTTGTTCCTGCCCTATTGTACTTGGCTTTAGAAGAAATCACACTGAATATGGAATTTTTTTATTTAGTAAAATTCTGGTCCAAGCCTGATCCTCAGATGATTATGCAGAGGGAACGACTGATTGTTCACTGTTTCAGATGATGAAAAGGACCAGAGAACCAAGTAGGCAGGACATTTTAAATCAAAGGGGAAAACTCCACTAATAATGACTGTCACCCAAAGACTGCAGAATTATCTTAGTTTTAATGAAAAGGCTGGTTTTAAAATCTTTTTGTTAATTCAGCTCGAAGACTGCAGCTACAATCTGCTTTCAAACAAATGCTTACAATAGAAACAAATTTATATAAAACTCAAATAAAATTAGCCTCATATTTTGGAGCACTTATCTAAAAGGCTACAAATTTCCCCTGCCATCTTCCTGTTTCTGTGTAGCTTCAGCCAAGTGACTTGACCCTTGACTCTCATTTTTACCTGAGAAATGATGGCGTGTTAGTTCCTGGTTACACAGGATGGTGGTAAGGAAGCAGAAAACACCAAGTATCATTATAATGGTTTTGCCTTGATCCCACTGCAGGATATTCTGGACCACTGAAAGAAATTCCTCCTGAAAAGTTCAACACTACTGCTGTGCCCAAGTATTATCAGTCTCCCTGGATAGAAGCCATTAGAGATGATCCAGAGCTGCTGGAAGCTTTATATCCTAAACTTTTTACACCGGAAGCAAAGCCAGAACTGCCTGACTACAGGAGCTTTAACAGGTAATTCTGAATGCACATTGAATTTTACAGAGCAGAGAAAAATCACTATGAAATAAAATGTTTCCACCAGCTGTAAAAAAACACCTCCCACCTGTGTTGGCAAGTGTATGCTCGTGAACATGAACACACACAGAGATTACAAGTGGCAAACAAGACCATCAAGGAGGAAACTAGTCTATCTCTAAGGTGTGGGCCCAAAATCAGGTAGTAGAACTAGGAATATATGATAAATTGCTAAAAATACTGAAAGAAAGTATCAGAATCAGTGTACTTACCAGGTGGAAAATATGGGCTTCAAACTCCTTTCAATATTTCTGTTGTTGAGTTCAGTAGGTACAGGACCATAAGCACTATCAGAGAAACAAACTCTCAGTCAAAACTTTGTTTCTAAGCTGTATAATGTAAACCACTCTTTTTTTATTATTCTTTTATAATACAACTCATGTAGCTTTTTTAAGGCAATGATAGTACAATGAACTTTAACCTGCAACCAATCCCTCACACCAAATAGTTTGCAGATTACACATTTTATTGCATTGAATACTTCTTGTGTCTTTGATAACCTCCAGTGACAAATTACCAGATAAAACACTGCTTTACTTACTAGCAACTAGTATATTAAGGCTTTCAGTAGGACTCCTAGATATATGGACAACACTGGGATTTTAAAGTTTTAAAACAAAATCTTATTTATGTAGTTTAGTTTCTTTCATTCCGTTGACACTATTTGTATTTATTGAGGTTATGGACAAATTTTCTCTAAACGACCCCTGCTGAGTCCCAGACAGCTGAGCCAAACCAAAACCCTTCCTCCAAACTCCAGACAGCAATCTATTGAAAAGGAAAATGGCTCATGGCAATACAAACTCAGAGAAAAACCCCACAAACATCACTTGTGTTCCTGATGTTGATGTGAGTCTCAACCACGAGTGCAAGGACTAAAACATTACACAATTCACCATCAAAACTGGCACTGCAGACACTGCACTAATTGTGGTTTCCTAACAGCACCATACATTGCCATGTTAATAATTAAGTCTGTGTGGCACACTCTTCTCAGCACACAAAGCAGCAAACACAAGTCACTGAGCTGTGCCCCAGCTGCTCACGCTGGAACAGTAACAGCACAGTTTATGGACTAGAGTTATTGTAATTGAAACAAAATTGAAACGGAACAACAAACAGCCCGTGACAAAACGCCAAAGACACATATACACGGAGACAGAGTCAATTCTCCCTCTCACAAGAGAGATGCTAGTCATTACTGGGAAGGACAGGGTCAGACAGGGCACAGAGACTCCATTAACAGGGATATGTGTCTTGAGGTGGTGTCTGATGGCTTCTTTGTGGATTTTTAGCTGTCTCTGTGGTCCCATGTTCTGCTAGTTGTCCTCTTTACAACACTAACTGTTTGGATTTCTTTCTGTGGGGATTTTCTCTATGTACGACATGGCAGAACTGTGGCTCACCACAGTCTGAATTTCTTGAACATATGTGCAATCCTATAAGGGAAAGGTCAATATTATCCCTTGTAACTGCCATAAAAACCTGGCACATAAATCCAAATTCAAACTGTGAAATCGGTAAATACAGAACACAAACATATAAACGTAATCCACCACAACTCTCCTTCTCCTGGAAAAAAAATTGACATCCAGAAGAAAATAAAAGGATGCCTGGTGGACCTAAAAAGCTGTTACATAGAATATGTTCAGATTTATGTTGTCCACCAAGAAGGAGTAGATCCAAAAAGAAACTGAGAATTTGCAAAATTGAAATTCAAGATAATTGCCTCTTGGAGAGGATTTTACAGCCATGATTCAGGGTCTACATTCCCAAAAATGCACAGGAGAGTGTCTGGTTATGGGATTCAAAACAGAGCACACTGGATGCCCAGCAAACCAAGAGAAATGGACTTCTCTGTCCAGATCCTCAGACATCCTGGGCATCTAGGTCACAGCATCCTTGACTTCTTTAATTGCAGTCTTGGAGAGAAAGCCAATGATAGTGTATTAAGCAATTACAGTGTGATATAATAGCACCACTGTGTTATCAGTGAGGGGATCTCTCAAGGCTTTCTGTCCTGCCTCATCCCTCAGTGCAGTGCCATTATGTTTGTGGTGCAAAGCGCTGGCACAGCCATTGTTAGTCAGGAGGGGTGTGGTTAACAGTAAGGGTGATGCACAGGATTCCCAAGGGAAACGGGGCTCAGATCCCTCCAGGATCATTCAGTGGTGCCTGTTAAAGTGGCACTGGGACTTTACAGGCCAGTTCAGGTTCCTTTCAGCTTTCCTTGTTACACAACAAACTGTAAAAGCAACGCAACTTTGGCAGCGAGGGAGGTCTGATGTGTTGGAACAGATGCACACATGCATGGATTAAAAGAACAGAGATTAATTCCTATTAGGATTGAAGAAGTATTTACTAGTGAAAAGATTTCTTGTCTCTTCCCAGTGTGGAAGCACCTAGTAAACATCTTTGGGAAAGCAGCATGAATCTACATTTGTTGAGGAGTTTATAAAATTAGTTAAATTAGTACCTTTATTCCATCTGCTTTCTTGGAGCTGGATAAAATGTCAGAGGTAGGATCATGAGTAACATACAGAGCACTACATCTTACTCACATAGGACAAGCAAGTCTGACTAGTTCTGCCTCTCCTACCAGATAAATTCTCACTCAGCTTTCTCAATTCCCAAAGACAACTCCTTCAAAAACACTACAGGAATCCAGTCCATCTGGACTGGGCTCTGTTTTTCTTGATTCACCGATTCTGAACTCCATTATAAAAATGCTGGGATGAGAGTCTCACAGGAATTTTGGGTGCTAACTTGAAGTGGTGTGAGATTAGTGGAAGCTGGGTGCTTAGCCAGTTCCTTAGCACCTACAAACCTCTGTGAAATCAGCATTAGCTCTTGCACTAAGCTCCCAGGAGGCCCTGAGCATTTTGCAGGGTCAGGTTCTTTGCTCCCACGTCTCCTTCTTGCACAGAATTAACAATAAACAGAATGTTCTATGTTCCCATTTTAAAACCTGAAACTCACCTTTTTTGTAATTTTGTAATTGGAGACACCAATCTAATACAGTAAAGCATTTCATCAAGCTTTCCCAAATAATCAACTACAAGTAGGTTCTTTTGTTGAGAAAATAAAATGTTCAGTAAGAAAGACCAAAGAAGAAAAAAAAGCAGTCCTGCTAAAACAACAGCTAAAAATAAACATGATTGTGCCTGCTATTGTTAAATCCTGCACCTACTTTTTAGGAATATGCAAAGTGAATATTAAACAATCTGGTACACTTCCTGGTGCCATTTCCTATGGCTCTGAACCAGAATTTCCACCCTTATTATGAGCAATGACTCCTGGAATTTTTTAGCCATGAGATCTAGGCTTCTGTAAGATGAATCAGAGCTCAAGTGGTACAGCTGATGAGCACACAACAGAGGTCATTGCAACACCATGTTGTCAGACAAGTTATTGCTCACAGAAATATACCTAGTGCTGCTGTAAAGGAAAATTAACATCTATTAGCCAATTACTGTACTCTCCTTTCTGTCAGTCATATGTGTCTCTGCCTACAATGCAGGAATGCACAGTTCTCTGAGGCCAGACCTTGGACAGGAACTACATGCAGGTGTTTTGCCACAGAAGATATCTGAATTTCCATAAAACACCCTCCTGTTTCTGTTGCTTACAGAAACATGCCGTATTTCAAACCCAAAAGTACTACAGGGAGGATGTTTCCAACTACAGAATTGTTTTGCATTTTAAACAGCTATTATTATTTTGTTTATTTTGATTATCCCTCTAATACGCCTATCAGTGAGAATTAAATATCACACAACAATGAGAATGTGTATGGTAATTAGGGCAGCAATTAAAACAATCTTTATTATCCAGTTAGATGCATATCACTACATTCACTCTGTGCCAATTACCAAGCAATTATTTTAATCAGTATCATACGGTATCCATTTGACATTGTGACCTAGAAGACAGTTTCACAGGAAAAGCTTGATACCACAGGCCCTTTGTACAAACCATTTCCTTTGACCTCAAGAGAATTTAATGTCTGGACTGGCTGCCTCTGATGCAACATCTTGTCTTACCCTGACTTGAGAAACATTTTTAGAGCTTACTCCAAAGCCGAGTTCTCTCAGTGAGGGTGCATGCCCAGAACTTTCATGATTTTTTATATCTCACAGGATTGATGCTTTGGAGTTAACACCAGCCCCTTCAACAAATGCTGCTCATACCAAAATTCAGTGAATTATCCATGTAATGACAGAGCAGTGCCATTTCCTTTGTGTCACAGATTCATTTTTATGAACTAATCTCTTATTTTTGTGGGTGTCCTAGTCAGATCTTCAAATGATTCTCTTGGTATTAATTTCTCTGGAATTCTGCTATAACACCTGGAGCCACTGGAAATATATTCCAGCAGATCTCTTGTTTTGTACCACACACAAAATCCACTAAGGCTGGTGAAGATCCATTTCAACAAAAATTCACTTTCCCATGCCACTGCATGTTTGGCCTTGCAGAAATCAGGTGCAGCTTAAAAATCTGACACTCTTAACTGGCCAGAATATATCCCAGCAAAGTCATGCAGCTGATCAAAATGCAGAGCACATATGTTTGCTTATACAAAAGAGGCTGGAAAAAGTGACAGAAAAACTCAAGTTGTTTTTTTTTTTCAGCCTGAAACCTGCATATATAGAATAATCATAGGAGGGTTTTGGAAATACTGTTTTAAAAGATTTGCAAATGCACATAACAGTCAGCTCCAGTTTAGTATTCCTTATCTTTCAGTTTTTCAGGCTTATTGCCTGAGGGAACATTCACATTTAAATAACATGAAAAATGCTGGCCAAACAGTGTTTTAGGGCTTAGTTACATAAACATTCCCTTCAGAAACAAAGCTGGTGTATCAAGTCCTCACCCATTCCCCTCCTTTCCAGAGCCTGTTGTCTTTGGCTGTCCCTTTCTGCTTCCCATTACACTCCACTGCCTCCTCACTTATATTGCTACAATTGTTTCAGCATCATGAGACGAACCAGATTGCTGAAATAATTTGGATTTTGAAGCGCTCCTTTGTACTGAAGTGTCTTTGTTTAACCCAGATCCCATAAGTGACCTGAGTTTATAGCACAGCCCACATACATTCTAACTGGTACAACAATATGGTGCTGAAATACAGTGCAGTGGGAAGAACAAGCAACTGGGGAGAGAAGAAAATGGGGTGAGAACTTCCTGAACTAATTACTTGCCAGAGAGAATGTGTCGAGCTACGTTTTCAGACTTATCAACTTATCACCAGCAAAATAAGTTTAGTAACTGTGACTCACCAATGACAAGGTTTTCTTGCCACATCTTTTTTCTCTCGGCTCTTCCACACATTTGAATTTTAAAGAAGGCTGAAGGCTTTATCTAAGGGAAAATAAATCAGATCTTAAAGAGAATCTCCCAGAAAAACAATCAGAATGCGTCTCCCAAAAGCTTGAAAATCTAAACAAGAAATTGGACCAAATCTGTATCATTAAAATAGCTTCTGTTCTTTTCAGCTCCTGGGAGGAAAACAAAACAGGTCTTTTTAAAATCACATTTTACTTTTATTTCTCTAAAATCTACAGAGTTGCCACTCCCTTTGGTGGTTTTGAGAGAGCATCAAAGCTGGTTAAATTCAAGGTACCAGATTATAACCTACTGATGCTAAACGACCCCAGATTCATGATCCTTGCAAACCCCCTCGCTGCCAGAAGGTCCTTCAACAGGACTCCCAAAGGATGGACGTCCGAGAACATCCCTGTCGTGTTCATCCAGCCCGCAGAGTCCAACCCCGTTCCAGAAACAGAGGACCTGTGAGAGAGCCTGCATTCTACATCCTACAAAATGCTGGAAGCTGCACATCCGTGTATTTTTGGTCCAAATATTACTGAAGGCTACTGACAAATTTTTTCCCTGGCAGCTGGAGTATAAGCAATAATGTCTGATGCAGCGTCTCTTTTCTGGCACCAAGTTTCAGCTGTAAACATGATATATAAATAAAGTCATTTGGAAAATATGACAGCCATGTTTTCTATTTGTGTTTACATGTTCTTCTTTTACTTCCTAAAATCTTTGCTTGTAACTTAAGAACAAGTGCACCAAGAAAAAAAAAAGTGGCAGGGCACTACTCTCAAGGGACTTGATAGGTCTGGTGATTTTGGTAAAATGACCAAGCAATGCCACAGCTCTGCACTCAATGCACCCCAAGTCCCACCTGCTCAAGATAAGCTCTGACAAATCAGCCTTATTTCCCACCCCTGCTTTTGGCCAAAGTTAAGAATTGTGTCATTAGTTCAGTGACAGCAAATTGTGGCCATTTTCCTCCTTTGTGATCTCACTCAGCTTTTATGACGGCCATCGATACCCGTGTCACCTGGATTTGTTTACCGAAAATGCAGTAAATGTGGCAGTGACAAGGATCATGTAGTGCTATGAAAAAGCACAGAGGTATTTCCTGGATGTCTTCAACGTTTGTGTTAATCAGAACTGAAAAGCCCAGCGATGACTGGTTCTGTCAAACATCTCAAAATAGTATCACCACAAATGCTTTTATTACTAGAAAGAAATTTCATTTTCCCCTGCCGCCACAGTGTATACTGGGACTTAAGAGCATGAGGGATTTCTTGCTCCTGATACAATGGCAAGTTGTGATGTTTTATAAATAAAAGTATATATGTTTTTCAAATGCGATTTTGAGGGAGGTAGTTGGCAAAGGAAATTCTGCCGTCTATTTTCTTTAATTTACTTTGTCACACAAGGTGCACAAACAAATGTACAGGTCCTGAACAAATTTGTGAAACTAAAGGAAAAAAAATCAGTCTCATTGACTGAGAATGCTTTCCTAGCAAGGGATTAGTTTGGGGACCTTAACTGTGCTTGGTGTACAGTTATATGGGCAATGACAAAAATATGAATTCTTCAGGGATAAAAAACAAAACTAGTGAGGAGCAATGCAAACTTTAGTTTCCTATTTGTCCATGGATCCAGTGGCTAAACTCCTGACCCGTGCCTAGGAAGCATTTGGGAGAGCACAATTGGCAGAAGGAGGGCTGGGCAATGTGCTAAGCATTCAGCAGCAGGGATCCAAGTGCCAGTGTCCAGGAATGTTCCCTGGCTGTATCAGCCTCCAGGTTCCCTCATTGTGAAAGTCCCACTGCAAGAAACAAATCTCTGTGCCAAAACCCAACTCCTTTTTCACCAAGGAAGGGCTGTTGGTAAGGCTGGAAATTTTCAGAGATTCTCTATTCACTTCAGTGGGGTTTAGCACCTGCAATTCTTTTGTCAGATAATTTCATATAGCACTTGAAATGTATCCTATAGCTAAAGGAAAGCCTAGTTTTGGGTAACCGGTGACAACTTCAGAGATCAATATTTGTGCTAATTTTTGTAGACACAGAGATGGCTCTGAAGTGAGAGGATAAAGGTTTCTTTAGTTACAGGTCTGGAAAGATCAACAAATACATATTTCTAAATTTTCAGTGGTGCTTCTAAAGGCTTCTTTTAGGTATAACAAATACAGCTGCAAGGATAGATGGAATGGAAAAACACACAGGCAACAGCTTTACACAAACACAATCACAAGTAGATAAGTAGTTCAGAAAATGTGCTTATAACTTCACGCACATTTTATCACAAGACACTCATATTTGCTTCCAAAAGAGAAAGACACTGAAGACTATGATGAAAAGGCAGAAATATGGTGAGAATAAGTATACAGTTAAAAATATCTAGAAGTCTTTGTTCCCAAAGGGTTTTTTGCCCCATTTTTATTTACATTAAGGTAATTGCAGCAGTATAAGGGGAACTCAAAAATTCTTTAAGTGTTTTCACTAAAAATGTGGTGACTTGAGGAAATAGATCTGCTGTTTCCCAGTCCATATAAAATACCCCCTGATCACAGTATGTCAAAAAGAAATAAGAGATGTACAATTCTAAAAAGTTCCATGAACATAAGGGTTTTTAAACAGATGCACCTTAAACCTCTTCTGACGTGAAAAGTCAGGGTTCATGGCCTGGACTGTCTGGACTGGAGATTAAATTTTTTTAACTGCGTGCTCCCTTCTTAGAAATCTTAAATATGTCAGCGTGTCTTGGCTGCTTTCCCTCCTGCATAATCCATACAACTGGCAGTTGTGGAAATAAACCACGATTCTATTGTCTCGAAGTATCCCTGTGTTTAAATTAATGCAAGGCACATTGTCTCTATCAGAAGCAGGAAAAACACGTTGGAGACGGGATTCTGATCCCAGTGGAATCAAACAGAGGTTTCAGCACTGACCTCTGTGCAGACAGAGGTCGTGTTATTTCATCTCCAATGTGTATTTGTAATCAAAGTTAGGCCATTGCCAAAGCTGCTATGTGTTCAGCATCAGAATGGATATGTTGGATTATAGAGCTGGGCCTAACTACATATATAGTTCATTTTGCACTATATAAAGGGTGAAGTGCAAACAACCCTAATAATGCCTTAGAGCATAAACCCCCATATATGTTAGATTAGAATTTCCCACTGTGGGGTCCACAAACTATAAGCAGTCTAGACAGAAACACCAGAAGATCCCCACAGGGCTGACAAGTCACGTAGTGCTGGCTCCTTCATTATTCCCAGAGGCTACATACTGTTCAGAAACAAATAAAAAGTGATCTAAATGATTTATAAATAGGATGTTTGCCACAGAGCTGTTATGTAACTGGGTGTTAGGATATAGATGATCAAAAATAGTTACAAAATGCAGTCAGCATACTGATACAGTTTAAAAACCAAAAATTGCACATGAAATACTCTTATTAAAAGGAAATTAAAAAGCAACTGAAAGGGTAAAATCCTTTCAAGGAATTAATATATTATTTTAAACAGCCTGCAGGTGAAGTGTTCAGAGTAAGTAAAAACTAGTACAGAGCTTTAACCTTTCTCTCCAAAAAAAAAAGAGTTACCAGGGTTTAAGAGTAGAATAGGGGTGACTCAGAAAACAAAAAGAAAAATAAAACATCACTGCAAGGACACAGTAATTAAACTATCCCAACACAAATAAAGGAAGTTATGACAGAGGTCTCCACAAATGGTATGGAAAAGATGAGGAGGGAACAATAACACAGGAACAAGCTGACTCTTAATAAAATGGTAAGGAACCGATTGTAAAATTAACGGAATAAATATTTTTCAAGGAAGGCCTAGTTGTGGGACCTGGTCCTATAGGATGCTGTGGGTCAAAAACCATGAATAACTTCAAAACAGGAATAAACAAATTTATAGTGGTAACTATGCCCAGTATGGATAATGGTCACTGTGTGATCTGGAAAACAGGAAGTTGCTTGAGGAAGATCACCATTTCTTTCTATAAATACCTTCTACTGGGCACTGTCAAAGATCGATGAAAGAAGGATTTGGCAGCCCTATGAAATCTGTTCTGTCTGTCTTCCAAAAACCATGAGTCAATTCTAGCATGTGCTGCTAGTACCGATGTTTACTGATTTACACCAAAATACCCATTGTGGGAGCAGTCAGAGGAAAACCGGTTTCCACACGGGAATGGGAACACTTCAAGGTAAGCTGGAGCCAGAGAGAGCCAGGGTTAACAAGTCCTCCCACACAGCGTGTGGGCGCTGCAGGGAACACAAACCCCCAGCTCAGCTCCGCCTTTGGCAGCACTCCTGATCCTATGCAGGGACCTCACCCTCCTGCAGCCACACTCACCACGTTCCATGTTACTGCAATGCACCAGCTCCCAGTATCCCAAAGGGATTTTTCAGTAAGCTATGGTTTTTCATACAGAGTTTAATACAAAGCAATAAAAGAGAAAGTTTCACTTTACTGATTAGAAAACAAGAAGAACCTTGGCAGAAAAGAGTCTGAAAGACACAAGCTCGGTACCAGGCTCCATCACAGACTGGTTTAGGACACAACATATAAAAGTTGATCCTCAGTTTTCCCACTAATAAAATAGAAATACTAAAGCAGGTTGCAGAAAGGGTTTTTTTATTGTTTGTGTTGGATTTTGTTGTTGTTGTTTTGTTTTGTTTTTTTCTTTTTTAATTTTAAAGAAGAAATCTCATGGTAAAAATAAAGAAAGTTAAAAAATAGGTTTACACGAGTACATACATAATATTCTAGGCTATGATTTATAATGAATGAAAGAAGCATTACTAGTAGAATAACATTCTACTTTCATTTTGGTTGAAATAGTGGATTTCATTCTACAGCAGGAAGATTCTATCTGATAAAGGTATCAACAAATTAGTATTTGACTTTTTAAAATAAAGATATAACTTTAGCTATTAAAAAGTCCAAGTAACTTCTTTTTTACCATTATTTTTGGCCAAAACTAGAAACTAAATCCAAGAATAATTTACAAACCTTTTGTTTTCAGATGGAAATTGGATTTCCTGAGAACAGACTATTCATCCAAAATACCTGGCCCAGAATTTGCAATACTTCCCTACTTCACAAAGACACTGTGAGACAAAATTAAATAACACTTGCAAGAGGGGGAGGATTTATAAATCACCGCAAGAGTGAAAATAAGCCTCGGTATTGTGAGCCAACTATTCTTTCAAAAGCAAATGGAGATTAAAATATTCGAGGGTGTTTGTACAAAGAACAGCTTGAACTTTGCCAGTTCAGAGCTGGCTGTACTCATTAACACAGGAATGCCCTCAGGCTGCTTTGTGTGGAAGGTGTAACTCGGCACTGGATTGCTCTGGAGTTCTGAAGGACATCTGGACAGTCATCATCCGAAAAAAAAAAATAAATAAAAGCTTCAAATCTTGAGGAGATCTTGGGTGACAGGAGGCCAGCAATCCCCCCCGGTGGGAAGGCTGGCAGTCAGGCAGCAGTCTAGAGCATATCATTCTACTTCCTTTTCCTTCGGAAAATTTCTCTGCACAGCCAAGTTACTCAGTGTAGGCAAACACTGCCTTGAAACAGCAGTTACTGTAGTCATTACGCTCAAGATTACTGAAAGATGACTATGCAAGATAACTACAAATGATTATAAACAAACATTTGAGGCACGACAGGCCCTTCCTAGGCTGGCCTACTGTACGTCAAGAAGCCAAGTAAGGCTCGATTCTGGCAGCGAATTCCAGCATTATGTCATTCCTCAAGTTCTTAATGAGAACATTTTGACTATTTGCTGGCAAGGACAAAAATAAGAACACGCTGTTCAAATTGGAAGGAAAAGAGCAAGCTGAGCAGTTACAGAAAGCACTACAGAACTAAAAGGCAAGTGCTTATTTTCTAGCTGGGTTGTGCAGTGATACAAATACATTTCATTAATGTATCAGTGCTGAAAAGAAACTGATCCTACACACAGTTCAAAGTGAAGAGTCTCCATATATTTAACAACGTTACTTTATCATTCTTTCAGATATGGCTTATAAAATAGGCAGAGAGTAGGGAAAGTGTGGAAATGGGAAGCATTGCTGGGAAAGAAGTTGTAAAGCAGATCTGCAACTCTAGGGGTCCATGAGATAAAGACAGTGCCATTCTATAATGTTTGCCTTGCACATGACACTTTCTCTTAGCAATGTTTAGAGGCTTCGACAGTTAAAAAACTTACTCTAATTTTCACTCTAAATTTTTTCATACCCAGCTTAGAAACATTTCTTCATAACTTTTTTTTTTTTAATAAAAACAAGCTTCCTTTCCTGTCACATTTGCTTCAACTAGCATATTCAAGGACTGTAAGGTCTTTTATGCTTCAGTTGTCTAAACTAAGCAAGTCAAGTTCTTTTAGTCTCTTGTCCTCTCTTTTAGCAAGGATTTAAGATTTTTTGGTTTTACAACTCTCCTAAGTTCAATTTCCTGCACGTGGATTTCCAGATCTGTTCTCAGTTTTTAAAGTCTCACCAGCCACAGGCACCATTAGTACATGTGCCATTAGTACTGCTTCATCTGTACAAGAAATGCAAGGCCGAATTTACATGGGACTGAATTCACATTTTCCACAGCAGCATCGAATCAGTGACTCACAGACACACTGTGCTTGGCTTATACACCCAGTTCTTTGAAATTCTCTCATCTTTCATCTGACAAGCTCTGAGCTTGGCTAAGCCTTTCCTATTAGGCCCTAACACATGACTTTGTACTTGGTGTTACTCTAACATATCCCATTTTACTTCTCCATTCCTCAAGGTCATCCAATTATTCCGGTCCGACGTCACCCTACAGGGAGTGTTTCCCAACTTTGTGATGTCAACAAAGTTCACGGCCAAGTTCTAATTTTTGTGCCAAGATCACTAATGAAGACATCAACAATACCAGTTTCAGTATCAATTACTGGACAGAGCTCCAGCAACATCCCCCTGCCATTCAGCAGAACACGTTGCCACCTTTTCCTCTGGGCTGTTTCTTCACCTATCTGACACTTACCTTAAACATTCCCCTTTTCTCCAGGTTAACAAATTTGTTTGTCTAGAAAAGCAGTTACGGTATCACAGAAAGAAAACAGGCAAGTCTGGCATGATCTGTCTGTGACAAAAAAATGTTTTATCCTATTTACTTCCACATTCTGGTTTTTTTCTAAGAAGCCATCACGTTTTTTGATTACTTTTGTACCGACTACAGTCATACATACCAGATTTACACCTGTAAAGTAACTTATTCCTTTGCAAATGAAAACAGCTTCTGTGAACAGAAGTGGGGTTAAACATTTTGATATTACACCATAGACTATGAGCAGTGAGAACACCAAAACACTTAACAAAGCAATTGCCTGTTTTTTGGTCAGCCTATTCTATACCACAATCCCGTTAAATTTTATTTAGTTATAGACTGAGGAGCATGAGGTGTGGACTGAACTCATGTATTTTAAAACAAACAATGTTCAGTTTCTCACATGGGACAAAATAAGTTTTTTAAATTCCTGCTATTTTTTTCTGCATTCTATTATCTGAAGTATTTATTTTTGACTTCTGTGAGACAGAGTATATATTATGTACTGCTACCCACTGTATTACTTCTAATTTTATACTCACTAAATATTGCTCTTTTGTCTTCATTTTACTTCAGGTTGGATTTCACCTGGAAATCTCAATTTAGCCACAGAAGTTGTCTGTGTGAATTCAAACCTCTCTGTCTTCCTTTTCTTCTTCTGTTGCAGACATCCACTGGCTTACATCCTAAGAAGAAGCAATAAATGAGACCTGGAAACTTGAAAGGATTGTCCAAGACTGATGCAACACAAAGATCAACATAAAAACTTTATTTATTCAAGAGTACCCAGAGGAGGACACAATTTCAAACAAGTGTCTCATATATACACAGCATGCATAGAATTTCCTTATACTTCTACTATTCCAGAAACTAACTTTAAAAACAGGACAGCCTAAAATAGGAAAGGATTTCAGTTGCATTGTTGTTCCACAGAAGTAGATTATTGGACTGGAAATTGGATTATCCAAGAGGAAAAATATTCATTTGCGAGACTTACGCAACCCCCACCCTTTTCCTTGTTCCTAAAGAATGAACATAGTCAGGCACACAGAGACCTTGTTCCAGGCCCATTATCATCAAAAAGTCTGCAGAAGAATGCAAACCAATGTTTCTTTTTCTCAGGGTGAAATTCTAGATGATCTCAATGAGATTGCTTTTGCCACCCCATTGAACATTTTAGCACTTGAAAACTACCGTGAAAAAATGTATAGTCAGGCTAATGTAGAATAAGAGCAAGATATATTGTGTTTATTCCTGCACCTGCTGGAAGAAAACTTTTTAAATGGTGGTTTTGCTCTATGAAAGTGTGTCTACAGCTAACTGAGAGGAGAAGGAGGGAGAAGAAACTTGAACAGAAATGATGGGAAGTTTTTTTTATAACCTAGCTAAAATAAACCAACACTTCACACTCTCATTGCTTCTAAAACTTCACTTGGAGCTCTTGAGATGAAAAAAACCCAGTGATTCTTTTTTCAGACAGGATCAATCTTCTCCTTCTTTCATTCATGCCTCCTTATGTCCCCAATTTACATGTACAAATTTTAGACTCTATACAGGATGTGGGAATGAGATCAATCAGATGACTAAGCTTCATGTGACTGCTTGCTACAGTCGACATGAGGAAAACACTGCTAGAGTTTGTTCAAAAGGAAAAGTTGTGGGTATAGGTCCTCATGGAAGGGGAGGCTTGAGCACTGGAATATAGTTAGGTAAAGTTACCCATGAAATAATGTGTCCTCACTTAGCTTACTGAAAGCTGAATGCATATTTTTCACTTCTGCTCTTGTTTTGGATCTTTTCGTGGCAATACAGCTGAGCATACGACCCAGAGAACTTGGACTAAAATGTTGTTAGGGCTTCCCTACAGCCTCCCTAGCAAATGCACATGATTATTTTATGCCACAAACAATAAATACTATTTACTTTTTCTCTGGTTCTTTTACTCCTTTATGACTCTCCTTCCCACCAATGTGTTTTCCTCATTATGGGTAACTCTAGCAGCATGATGCAGAGCACTGTGTCCTTTTCACTCAAGGAAAAAGACAAGTAACTACGAGAACATCTTGGAATTTGAGGGATTTTTTTTCTCCTCTCAGGGCAGAAAAGTTTAAACATATGATCTGACAATACCCCAAAGGCTCAGAGAACATGGAAAATCACGTACTCTTAAGTAACCCTTACCTTACTTAATGGAACTTTATCCTGCTACAGCCTATGCACAACAGGCCCAGTTTCCCTGCTATCTTTCAAATCACATTTTCTTCTAGAAGAATGATTTTCTTTATCCTCTTTTCTTCTGAGAAGAGTAGCACAGCCTCAAACACTTTCTTCAGAGCTCAGTAATTACTTCACAAAAACCACGACGGCAGATCCCAGCCACTGGAATTAAACATGCATTTCAATTTCAATGGCAGTGTCTCCCAAGTATCTTAAAGTCAATGTTAAACGGTACTTGATCACAGAACATTGTTTGTGATAGGCCAATAAAACAGACTGAACCATAACAGGCAGTATAATGTGTAGTGCTGAATTAAATGCAGTGAAAAGACTTTACAAAAAGAGATGTAACTAATAAACCACACCTTAAATTCTGCAATAGCTTGTGGAATTTTCTGCCTCAGACCCTACATGTAATTTGTTAATTTACTTTTTGCAAAATCCCTCAGTAAGTACAGACACAGTTTCTGCTAAGAATACCAATTTGATTTCATAAGACCAACAGCTCATAAGGAGAAAGAAAGATCCATGCAGAAGAATAAGAGTAACAATGACAAAATCAACTACTCAGTACATTACTTATTTAAAAAAAAGAAATCCTCAAAATTTAACCTTTTATCCCTTCGATCTGAGAAGATTTGAAGAAGACATAATTCTTGTATTAAACATTTGAACATGAAGAGGATAGCAGCTGGCTGAAAAGGTTGTTGCAAACATGTCCTAAGCACTAAGAAGAAATACGAAAGAAATTAGAGAACAGGTGTTCCAGTACCGCTACAGGTAGGAAAACGTTCATAGAAACACTGTGGACAATAAAATTATTTCAGAGGAAGGAATCAGAATTTATCTACAGATCAGCCAGTGGCAACAGCAGTATAGATGGCACTGGAAGAGTAAAACTGCAACACAAAAATAAACCCTTATGTGTGCGGGTGTGAAACACAGATCTGCAGCTCATTCACCGATGAAAACGATGCACAATGCCTGCGTGTTTGACAAAACCTATTTAACGCGATTACTTTTAAACCTTTTGATGTCTCCTTTCCATGTTAAGATTTTTCTTTTGGCGTGTAACTATCCAATAAGTATGTTTTAACCTGGATTGCACATGTGTAAAACCCCACTGCCCTGGATGTGCTTAAGGATCTGGATATGGTGTGCCTCCATTCTCTTCCAGCTCCATGTTCCATGTCACACCCCAAACCCACCACCCTCAACCCCTCTCCTCCAAATTTAACACCTTTCCAACCCTCAGCTCTCCAGTTTAACAATCTATCTTATTAATACTACCAAAGTTTGCACAAACATCAATGCTAAACCCACATAAACATTCTTCTGCCCCCCTGCATCATGCCCAGCACATATCCTGTACTGACACAAACTGCAACAGGAAATCATCTGCCCTTGTAGCATTGTTTTGTACTTGCACCATTTATTCTAATTTTAAAATTCTTCTGTTACCTCATTTAGGGCTTCCTGTGCCGCACCTGTGTCATTCTCTGTCTGAACTGTGTGGAAGACTCTGTTAAGATTCACTCCTAGGGAATCTTAAAATATACCATAATTAAAGCTCACAGACTACACTTACTCGGAGAAAAAAGGAACAGAAGAAACCAACATAAATCCTAAGGGACTTCTAAAAGATTAGTGGTGAAGAACAAATCCCTGCTGAAGAAAGGGCAGAGGCAAACAAGAAAGCAGGGTTCAGGGAGAAGCAAAAATATCAAAATGAGGTCATAATCAGAATGAGGTCATAATCCCACTTTGGGATACGCAGATGCCTTCACTTGACTGGCTTTGCAAAGGAGTAATGCAGGGATAAAAGACTGAACCAATACTAAACAAAAGAATAAGCAATGTTTTATATAAATATACAATAACAAGATGCACTGACAAAAAACTAGATTTTTAATGGTAATGTTAATATATCGACTGTTAACTTGGTTTTACCCTAAATTTTCTAGTAGAGAATTAGGAATTCAAACACTTATCAATAAACAGCTTAGAAAGAACTACAAAAAAAACCCCTAAAAATGCTCATTATGCCAATATATTGTATGAGTCTTAGGGTAGTGAGAGAACAAGAGATTCAATTCCCTTCAAAAATCACAAAATCCAGGAAAATTTTAAGAAAACAAGAGGCAAGGAAATACGGTATCTGTTAATAATTAAGAAGTATATATATGTTACTGGCCACCACATCTGAAAGGCTCAAGAAAAAAACATTTCATACAAGTCCTGCATGAAATAACTCCAACTTGTGAGTATGACTACACAGATCACTGAAAAACATGGCCATAAATATATATATACACACATACAAGACAAAATCTACAAAATGTAATAGAAATGTCCCCAATTTGGGGTTTTTTTGAAGTAAAAAGTTGGCCATTTGATGAAAAATTTTGGAGCGTGAAACTGAGAAAACTGCCTTTGCCAGTGGGCTTTTTACACTACCAATATAACAGGAGAAACAGTAGCCAAAATTATCTGATTAAAATGTATCTATTTGTAACAGAAATGGATACAAAGACAACGGAGGTGTAGCATTTCTATAAGGCAGCGAACTAAATCGATGCAGTGCCTTATGTTCCACACAGTCACTTTTGCAATCTGGATGACCTAAAGTAGATGCAGGAAGGGAACTTTACAGGGAAATTATTTAATGTACTATTGCAGAAGATATTATTGGAAAACTAAACATGCTGTTATACACAGAAGCACATTTCCAATCCTGGAAAACTACGAAAAAGGCAATTGGAAGAGCGAGAATATAAGAAGTTGTATCCAGCAGCCCGCGCCAAGGACTGATGCTGGGTGTGGTAACACTTAAAATCTCATTGCTGGTCTAGAAATGAAACGTGTTAATGAAATCTCCATGTTTGTCCAGGAAGATGGTCATAATGGTGAAATATAAAAGGTACTTGAGCAACCAGAAACATGAGCATTCACGAATACGGAATTCCTTTCGCAAATAACAAAAGGAAACACCCCTCCCTCGCCAAAATAATAGACCAGATAAAAATCATAGGGAACATGACTTTGGGATGGTGACCCTCGGGGAGGTGATATATATATATTAATATAGGATCTTTCTGGGCAACATGGAAGTCAAATGCAACTCTGAGGTGATAAAATTTACTTGTGTGGGGTTTGGCTCACAAGCTGCCCCTGGCTCCAGCTGCCACTCCGTGCCACCGCTTTTTCCCTGGCATCTTGAGGAAACCCAACGTGCGTGTAGCCCGATATCCTGGAACGAGCGCTGGAAAACAATTGCTGGAAAAGCAACCGCCGCCGCGCTCATTTTAGCGGGTTATTGACTCCAAACCTGAGAGCCGGGGAGGGGGCACCCGCTGCAGCCTCCGAACCTTTACACTTTTCGAGCAGCCGCGCCTTCGAACAGTGACATGGCGGGCAGGGAGAAGCAGGGTGGTGGCAGGCTCCCCCTCAGCAGCCTCGGCAGGGCGCGGGGAGCCCGACCCCGATCTCCAGCCCCGATCCCCAGCCCCGATCCCCAGCCCCGATCCCCAGCCCCGATCCCCAGCCCCGATCCCCAGCCCCAGCCCCGCTCCCGCCCCGCCGCATCAGGCGCCATCGCGTCCCCTCACAACGCCCTCAGACCTCGCGCGCCTTCCCGCGCGCCCACCGCGCACGCGCGCTGGGCTGCGGGCGCGGCCACGCTCCAGCCTCTCCCTCCCTCGCTCCCTCCCTCCTCCTGGATCGGGAATATCCGGGATACCGGCCCGGGAAAGCGCCCGCAACTGCGCAGGCGCGGCGGCGCCAGGCCGCGGGAAGGCGGAGGAAGGGGGGGGGAGCGGGAAGGAGGAGCGGGAAGCGGGGGGAAGCAAAAGTTGCCGCGAGGGCGGGGCCGCGCCCGGAGTCGCCGCCGGGAGGGGGCGGGAGAGGAGCTGCGTGAGGAGCCGCCGGGGGTGAGCCGGGGGTGGGTCGGGGGTCGGGCAGGAGGAGAGCCGGGGAAGAGCCAGGGATCGGGCAAGGGGAGAGCCGAGGGCGGGTAGGAGGTGGGTCGGGGGTCGGGCAGGGTGGCGGCACCGGTGCCGGCGGGGGAGGCAGCGGCGGTGCTGCGGTGGGACGCGGGACGGGACCGCCGCTCCTCCTCCCGGCCGGGCGTTCGTGCGGGGTTAAATCCCTGCCGGGGTGCGTGGGTGCGGGTCAGCGGCGGCTCCGCGCCGTCCCCGCGCGTTGTGTAAGCCGAGGGGACCCTGCGAGCGCCGGGCGTGCGGTTTAATGTTTAACGCGGCGCTCACATGCCCACCGGCGAGTCTCGCAGGAGTGTTTTCCAAAGGCTGTCCGGAGCAGGAAATGCCAGTACAGGTAGTGTGGGGCTGTTTGAAATTTAATCACTTCGCAGTGTTTTGGGGGCAGAGCCGCTTCGCTGTGCTCGTACGGATGGAGTTTCGGGGGCGTGTAGGTAGGTGCGTGCAAACGGCATGCAAATCATCTGCTTAGCATCTGGTGTAAGTTTACGTTTATCCCCTTACTTTGGTTTTCAATGCAAATACTTTAAAATCTGCTTTTCAGAGGAGTCACGGCTTGTTCTCTCTACATGTATTTTTCCCTTCCCAAAATAAGTGTTTTACGTATCTCTACTTAGTGCTTTATTTTGCGCGTGCAACCCACCCCCCCAAAAAAACCCTCGAACACTTAAGCTTTTTTAGCTTTGAAGCTGCTAAGATTATTTTGAGAACAACAACTTAATTGTGCGAATAGTGTTGTGCCTGACTGATGATGCAGTATTCCCTTCCACCTCAAGGCAATGGAAAATGCATTGACTGACTTTATTAGTAACTGCTCTTATTTTTTGTAGAATGAAAGGGTGATTTTTGGTGTTGAAATAGCGAGACCCAGTGTTGTAATCTGACTACAAATTAGCCTTGTCAAATGATAAATAATCCTTTCTTCCCCTAACAAATTGCTGCAGAGTAAGAGGTATTTGCTGGTTATTTTTTTTAAATATCAAATGACTTGTATAAAAAGTTATTATCCCGAGCCCGTGGGATGTTGACAGTAAAAACACCTAAAATATGCACTCGACTTTCATATGAAAACTTGGTAGTGCGGGATCTTTTTTGGTCTTAGAGTGTGCATGGTGTGCTCCTGACAGCATTGTTTTTGGGTGTGAGACCCAGAGGGCTTCGGGGTCAGGGTATTGGCACTGTCACATGTTTTGGTTACGCTGCTTTCCAAGATCTTGGTAGCAGCACTTGGTCCTTTTTTCTTGGTTAATGCCTCTTGGTAGAGGAAAGCAGTTTAGTCGCTTGAGGGACAATAGTGATGGGAACAAAACCCATTCACAGAGTTCTTCAAAAATCTCATGGTTTAAGCAGAAACAAGTTGGAGTTTGTCGGGGCTGGGTTAAATAGTGATGGGTTGAGACTGGATCAGAATTTTAGATGTGTGGGTAGAGTGAAATGTTTGTAGGTAGGTTTGTGCAGGATTTGTTCATGAAGAAACATATGAAGTGTAGTGATTCAGACATTGAAACGTTCCTTTTTTATTTTTTTTTTTGTCAAGACTGGAAGAGATGTGTGGGTTTAAAGATGATGCTCACATTACCATTCCTTTTAACTCGGTTATGCAGGTTTTTTCCTGGTGACTTAAGGAATTGGAAAGCTTTTTGGGAAGGAGCAGAACTTGGTATTTTGCACTTCTGTTAATAATAATCAAACATCTGCAGAGAGAACTGAAAGGCAAAGGCAGGTAATCTGGGATAAAAAGGCAAGTGTGAAAATTATCACTGTAAGGGTACATTCGTTTTTTTTAAAGCTCAGGAAAGAGTACATTGTAGTCTTTGAACAAAACCCTTGTAGGAAGATGGAGAAACAAAAATCTTCTCTAGTGTTTGTGCGATGATTCACTGTAAATGCTGGCCCGTGTCACGGGCTGGGAATTTGTATTCTCCAAGATCTTTACTCAGAGTTCCCATTGGAGCCATTTCTAAAGTCAGCTTCTAGTCGTAGCAGCCCAGAGAGGCTGAGCTGTGAACCTGTTGTTTTGGTTTTGCTGCGAACAGGGAAGTTTTTATTGGAACAGCTTAAAGAAAAAAATTGTGTACTTATATAAAAGCCATCTGGGATAGCATCTACGCTTCTGGTGCTCCCACCCTGAAAGGATACAGAGGAGTATGACGTGCAGGAGCAGTGGCTTGGCATATGAGGGACAGCTGAATGGGTAAGGGCTGGGGAAGAGACAATGGAGGTTTTTAAAATAGAAATAGTCTGGGTTGAAAATCTTCAGGGATTGTTTGGAAGATTTCCTAGAAGAGATACCATCAAATACTCCTTTGGTGTCCTGGGGACTTCTTGAGTGAGTGACTGAACAAGAAAGAATGTGTCAAACCAGTACCAGCCAGTGGTAATACACTGGTATTGGTCTTGTCTTGTAGTGTTGTTCTTGTTTCACCTTATGTGTCTTGCAAGTAAGTGCTATTAAGTGAAGTTTTTCTCTCTCTCTGATGTTTCAAACAGCAAGAATTTGCATTCCTGTGAACATATGTCTTTGACAGCTTTTGAAGTGAATACTATAATTTTCAAAGACAAAGACTGGTGACTACTAAAAGCATTTCATGTATCTTCTGGTGCATGAGATCTGCTGCCATAAACAGTTTAACAGAATGCTAAAGGTGGAAGGGGACAGGATATGTGCAGGGACCAACAAAATTGTGATTCAGCCCCATTGAGGTGGATGTAAGAGTTTATTCCTTTCAAATTTTGGTCTTTTTCTAGTTTTAAAGCAGCTTCACTGTTTGTTTGTTTTTTTCCAGTGTGGGGAAAAATCATTGCAGCCTCCAGCACTGTCACAACACAAATCAGATTTTTGTTCTGCTCACAAAAATCGGCAATTTTAAATGACAACCTTTTGAGCCGTGGAAAAACACTCAAATTCTTGCAGTTGCAAGTTGTCGAATTTTTGGTGGATTTCATTCTGTTGAGGAGGAAACAGTAACCCCGGTCCTAATAATGTTGGCTCACTGCAGAGAACTCTAGTGGTTACCCATCATATTTTACTCCCTTGTAATATATTTAATCACTCTTCCCTCACAATTTTTGTTGTCTTGTGTCTAAATTCCTAAGTTATATCAGTTTAGAAACTGATTTACCAGAGTTGTCAGACTGTTGGGCGGGTTGCCAGGCTCGGCACAGAGGTGTGAGCTGCAAGCAGAAGCAAAAAGCTGTGTGGCTTAAAAGTAACCCCAGCATTGGGCATGGGGAAGCTTTGCCATTAGGCAGTTATGCAACATGCTGAGAGGAGTTGCAAAGTGAAGCTGAGAAGATGTAAATAGCAATTCTTCAGCCAAATTTCAGAGACACAAGCAGTCAACTACTTTTGAACCCATTGGCAGGTTTCCACCCAATTTGACAGAAGGGACAGAAGCCTTAAAGATGATTATGTACTTATAAAGTGCATGAAAAGAGGCAGCTGGCTGGAAGAGAGAGACCTTGTAAGAGGATGTGAGGAGCAGAGTTGGCATATGCCCCAGCTAGGGAGAGAACTGTGAGAACTCAGCCATGAGACATAAAGTTATCAGGAGCCCAGGCACCGGTAATTCCAGTGTTCACAGAACCAACTGCTTATCTCGTCGGTTTTATCTACATGGATATCAAAGGTGCTTAAACCCAAATGTGCTCGTAGAAAGTGATTATTTTAGGTAAAATAGCACTGATGTGTAAGCTTCTTTAGTGACACTGTTCTTACGCTGAGAACTCTGTGGCAGCTGCAGTTCCATTCGAGGCCGTACCAACGCTGCAGGTGATAACATGCAGTTTTGCTGACAAGTGTGTTTGTTATTCTGGAAGCTGGAAAGGCAAGTGCCAGAAATTTGTGACAGGCATGTATTTTGTCCTGTAAGGCTGCACAACTAATGGTAGCCAGGTGCTTTATGAGATCACTGATGACTGAAGAACAGTGACTGAAATTGGGCAAGGTGGAAGAACTTGGGCTGGTAAACAGATATTGGTTTGAGAGCCCATAGCCCTTGTTTGGTTGAGAAGAGTTGGCAAAATCAATTCCTTTAGTCTGAAGGGCAAGAATATTTCTTTTAACTCTCAGCTGCTAAAAATTTCATGGATCATGTCAGTAACACTGTGTGAAATAACTGTTTTGCTGAAAGATTGCACCCATTGAAGACTTGGTGTGGGGTTCAATCATAGAATGGGTTGGGTTGGCAGGGACCTTGAAGACCGTCTTGTTCCAACCCCCTGCCGTGAGCAGGGACACCTTCCCCTAGACCAGGTTGCTCAGAGCCCCATCCAGCCTGGCCTTGAACGCTTCCAGGGATGGTGCAGCCACAACTGACTTACGGTCCATCCTCAGTCACTCACACCTTTGTCACGGCAAGAGCTTACAAAGAATTGGTAAACCCCAGTGCCTAATAAATGCTGCAGTGCCCTCGGCAACACTGGCTTACCACAGCCAAGGCAGGGGGCTTCAGTTCCTAGTTACAGTATGGAGTACTGACTTTAGGTTAGGGCAGTCAGTGCTCCGAGTCCCAGTCACTTCAAAGTTCAACCAAACATGTAAAGTTCAAAATAAACTTTCTCACCTTAGGGAGAGGCTGTGATGCCAAGTTAATCCCTTTGCTTGTGGTCCCACTGGAAGGCTCATTTCCAGTGCCCCTCTTACTAATGAAAGAGCAGCTGTGCACCACGGGCTTTGATTCGGGGTGTTAGGGGAGAAAGAAAGGGTAGTGGAACCTCTACGTATGAAGACTGCACAATGAAAAGTGTTCTGAAACAATTTTTTATTAAGTGAATCATGGTAACTTTTCCTGAAACCCAACCTCTAAAGGCTTGGTGCATGAAGTGTTTGTTCTAGGGCATCCCTGAAATGCAAGACAAAATAACTTCTGTAAGGTTTCAGTGAACGGATGCTCTTTGCCTTAAGTTGTCCTGGAAGAACTCTTGTTTCCCAAGCAGCACGTGTATTTCTAATGAGATCTGAAACTGCTATGCATTTCTAGTTATTCTCTACATTTCTTTTTCCCTCCCCTTCCCGGGCTTATTGAAGTGAACATAAAGAAAACAAAATTGTTGCCTGATGTTGTGTCAAGGTCAGTTTGCAGTGAGATTTCAGAATCTTTGCTCAGTGCTGCCACAAATCACACTTACCGTCTCCAGTATTATTAAATCAAATTACTTACGGGTGAGATACAGTAACATCAGTAAACAAACAAAACCCATCTGATTATTCATGGGGCAAAAGAGACTTTTGGTTATGTTCCAGTTATTGATTTTTTTTTTATAATGCAAGCAAGTACCAATGCTTCTTTTAAATAAAAGGGAATGGTTTTAGGGGTGCAAGACTTCATGCGTGCTTGTAAAACCTAAGGTGAATATCTCACTTGTAATGTGAAGCCAAATTCACTTTTTTTTTTTTCCTTCCCACATATGCAACCCTAATGGTTTATTTAAATTTATTCTGCTCTGTGCTGTTACTTCAGATGTTTATGTGGGTGATGCAGTAATGCCAAACTGGTAAAATAATCCATTGTTGTGAGAGAGTCACTGCTCGGGCTCTACATGTGGTGATGTTCCGGATATGGAACCATTTAACTTTAACCATGTTCCTCCAACAATGAGGGAAACAACTCTGATTGCTGGGGTTTGAAAACCTTGGAATGGGTTTTTGGAGGCAGTGAACAGAATGTTCTTGCTTGGCTATTAGCAATGTTTTTCTGGGTGCTTTGAGAATGCAACTAGGTTAAAGACCTAATTTTTATGTAGTGTTTTTTAGGTAGCACAAACTTCTGAAAGCTGAGTACTAGCTGGGAATCCATCTAGAATATTGAAATTAAAACCAAATAAAAATATTTACTTCTTGGGAAAGTTTTTATTAGACTTGGAGATTCAAAGGTAGAACAACTCATGTATTATACGGTCTTTTTAGAAGATGTTGCATGTTGGTAGAAGAACCTTTATAGTAATTTTATTGTGGTCTTTAGAGGTATATAATAATTCAGAAGATATTTTATTATGATAGATAAAATAATTTAATTTTTCTGCCTTAAAATTTTTTTAAAGTAGTGATTTTTTTCTCGTCTTCTTCCCTGCTTATTGCACCTGCCAGTAGATTAAGATATTGTTTTAGCCATGCTCTTTTCTGATTTAGGAGGTCTCTAACATTTTGGAAATTTTTTCTTAAATTTTCTGGTTTTTTCCTATTCCAGGTGCACTGGAAAGAGGATGAAATAAGCATGGAGTCTTCTAAACTGGAATATATTTCATGGGTCACAGTTAAAAGTAAAAAGAAGATGGAAGGAAATGAGAGAACAGGAGTATAAAGCCTGTCAAGAACTTTCCATTTTTGTGATTATATGTATAAACTCTCGATATAATACAACTAATGGTTTATAGTAACACTTTACTGATATCCCAGGAAGAAGTCAGTTACTGTGCAACTGGCTTAGCAAGAAGTTTTATTCTAACTACTTTGAACATGTTTTAACCTTAACTGGACACCTTTTATTTATTTTTTTTTTTTTTTAAAGTCTGAGAGTTAAAACCTTTGTTTAACTGTGTTTTTACTGAGACACCGATTCCTGACCGATGGCTGACAGCTGCTCATGGAAAATGGACTTAATCCCATGAATGGTTACTGTTGCACAGAGTTGAATGGAATGCCATGACTTCAGAAATATTCTCGTAGAACCACCTTCTTTGCCTTGTACCCATCATATCCTTAAATATTTAAGCGTAAACATTGCAATTATAAACTCTAAAAAATAATGGCATGGGTGAAATTCCTAAGAAAACCTGGGGGAAACCTTGGAAAAGTTTATCAGCCTGGAAGTATACTGTCCCTGGCCCCTACAAAAGGCTTATTAAATGAACCCGGACAAAACAGCTGCTTTCTTAATAGTGCTGTTCAGGTAAGAAAAAACTTGATTTATTAAACATTTTTTGAGTAGACTTTCCTAAGTGGGTGAGGGAAAGAAAAATGGCACTTATGGAAAGAAGACTCTGTGTGGAAGGAGTTTTACCCAGCATTTCGTTTTAAGGAATTGAGAGTATTCAATATTTAATGTTGTGAAATATGACAGGATGTTATTTTATTTGCATGCATCAAGAACTGTCAGAAAAACTTCCCTTTTGTATTTGGAAACTTAGGAGTCCAATAGATGTATAGACTTCCTTTGAAAACTGGAAGGCTTAAAAATGGTATGGATTTAAATGTGGGAGATAGGAGAGGTAACGCTGTGCTGTGTTTGTGTGTGGTATCTAAATGTGTTCAAGATAAAAATGTGGAATGTTTGCTGGTTTGCATTCAATGGGAACAGCATGACCTATATTCTCTTGCAGTTCTGCTATTTTTGCTTAGGGTGCCCTAAAATTAAACCCTATGTAGTTTTACTTACAGTTTTAGACAATCCTACTACCCCACAACACATCAGGCAGTGGCTGATGGTTGGTGACTGCCCGTTTCCAAGCAGGAACGTGTTCCTTTCTTTGCTTTAACCTCCCTTCAACCTTCAGAACTGAGCTTTGGACTCTGCTTTTCAAACGCATCCCAGTTCATTTAAGCTTTTATATTTATAGATAGGATATTTTTTCCCCTGGAGTTGCAGCTGTTCTGTTACTGTGCATCTTCAAAACTCATTTTTGGGGAGGTTTATTTTTATTTTTTTTTTAGCGGGCGACTTTCTGAACTACTTCATGTGTACCTAAGGCACTAGATACTGAAAGCACTGTACTGTAGCCATGCTGATATTACCTTTATGTAGAGTAGTTACACAAATAAAAGGTAGAAACACACCTGTTTAAGCACTAGAACTATTCTGAACTGTGGAAAACCAAATGCATTTCAGCAATCATTTTAGTGAGAGCCCATAAGAATGTAGTATAGGCTTATGTAGAGCTGTAAGAAGGCTGCTACAACCCCTGCACACAGTTTAGCTTGCTGCTTGTTTGCTTAGGAGTCCTTAAGCTCTTTTTTCCAAAGTACATTGGTTCGAATAGTTTAAAAAAACAAGAGATTGAAATTTCAAGGGGTGAATGCAAAACTTTCACTTCCACCTCCACAGTTTGCCAAACTGAAGGCAAAGGACCACAATTCTTGCAGCAATATTGGTACTTAAGGTTATGCATTATGTGGAATTGGGAAAAAAATTAACGGCTGCTCTATGTTGTGCTAAATGAAGAACCTTCAGAAGTCATTACTTACTTTCTCTGGAACTTTTATTTTTATAGGTATTATGGCAACTTGACATATTTCGACGAAGTTTAAGAGGTTTAACTGGACACGTGTGTCAAGGAGACGCCTGCATATTTTGTGCTTTAAAGGTAAATAGTAAATTTAGGAAGAATCATCTTTCAAAATGAGGGAAGAATAATTTAAATTACTTTTATTACGTCTGTATCGTACACATGCCTGGGTGCCTCTCTGAGTCATTCTTGTGTAAAGAAACAGTTTAGATATAAGGACATTAGGAACAGAAGTATTTTCTTGTGTTTAAAGGAGAAATTTTACAGTACACAAAATTTAGTCTAGTTAAACATAAAACTTCTGTCAGTGTGAATAAGTTGTACTGTCTTTTAAAATATGGTAGTAGATATAGTGATATACAGAACTGGGCATCACTTGTCTGGAGGGAGCTGAAAGGAACAACACTACTGGAAAATGTTTCATTGAGGGAGTGATTTTTGATGATGCTAAATTGTAGGCAAAGGTAAGCCAAGTATTTAAGAGTTTACCCTCAGGGAGCTGAATGAGTGTTTTAGGCAAGAACTGTTGGCAGTGACATGTCCTTCAGGATGTGTATAATCTATGTACTTGGTATTTTTTCCAGTAATTTTTAGCGTTTATCATCGTTGCAGTATTTTACAGCTAGTTTGGAATGTGTCTCTGTCTTTTTCCAAACATATTTCTTTGCTAAAAGGTGCTGTTTCATTTCTTTGGTTAAAATGTTTAATTTTAAAAAGCCAGGAGGCTGAGACTACACATATTCAGACTAACTTCCTGGGGCTTTTATTCCGACCTGTTTCAAAGCTCTTGACTCTGCAGAACTCATTGGGACTTCTTGTTTCCCCAGTGTTTTGATGCCAGTCCTGTTCTTCTGTGTGCTGGGCACTTGATCTTGTTAGTACAATAAAGAGCTGACCCGTAACTGGGGCATACCTGTGTTTGCAGATTAAAGCTTGTTTCTGTCTTGGGCTGGTGGCTTTAGTTTACGTTCGGCATCACTTTAAGCCACCTGCCAAAACAATGCACTGCCTTCAGCTGCTTCGTGAGGCTGCTCTGATTTAGGACTTGGAATTTTCTTTATTCTTTCAAGCCTCTGTTCTTGAGGGATTGATTACTCCATGATGCACCTCGTGGGATTTACCTAAATGGCTTACAGTGCACGAATGTTTTGTGTTGCCTGGACCGACATCTTCCTATTTTGATCAGTATTCCCAAGAATACTGATAAGAAGTGGTATTGCTGCCTGTTCTGAAATTGGTTGGAATGGAATTAGTTATTTTTTTAACAGTATAGCTGTGATCTTTAACTCCCTGGCCTGTGTACTGAGCTCAAAACCTTGCAGTTAATTTGTTTGGAAGTATCTGTCCTCAGCTGTTATGTACACTACTGGTTTTGCTTTCTTGGCTCTCTAGAGACACTGGTTGAGTAATTCTGTTTGTTTTGTGTTCAGAACCTGGGGCATTTTAATTTTCATGCAATATATGTGCTGGATGAGGATGCATTTCAGTAACTTGTTTGTGACTTCGGTCGGGTTTTTTTGGGTTTTTTTAGCTTTGGTTTTTATTTTTTTCTTTTTGGCCTTGGGCTATTTTAACCCTTTTTACTTGTTCACCAATTGAAGAAGGATATTATCTACATACAGCTTCTCCTATAAACTAAAAGCATAGCCAATAAATTCTAGCTTACCTCAGTTCAATCCATTATCTCTTTCTTTTGGTGGTGTTCAAGAATTAAATATGCTCTGTTCTTTTTTGGATAACACTGGGGTGAGACTTTGACTGTGCAGGCCACTAAACTGAGCATACATATCTGCACAACTGCTTAGCTGTACTTTTTTTTTTTTTTAGCTGGACATAAAAAGCTCTGTTGCATACCAAAAATTACCTACAGCCAAAATGAGTATTGATGAAAGTTTTCAAAGGAGAGCTAACTTGTATTTTCAGACCTGCTAAAAACTTCATTTTGAATGTTTAGGTGGAGAGAGTGACTAATTTTTATCAGTAGTCCATGCTTTTTATTTTGAGAGGGAACTTTAAATATTTAACAGACACCCTGGAATGCATCATGGTTAAAACACTAACTTTTGTTAGCACTGAAACTTTGCTTATCTGTTGCATCTTTGCCTTCTATCCAAAAGATTTTAACCATAGGAAGCCTATGTGAAGAATGCATGTTATTATTTATGCTTTACATGTCTTCTGCTGATTTGCTTTGTCTCTGTTCTCTGCATTTCCCTCTAAAGCTTGACTTAGAATTCTTGACAGTGGAATATAGACCCTGTAATATCTGAAAATATATAATTCATTTAATAGCTTTTAACTTTCAGTTCTTTCAAAATCAACCTGCCTTGCTTGCTAAATGATGAGGTCACTTGCATATGTATCTGCCAAAAAGAAAAGTAGCAGCCAACTCACTCTTCTGGGAAATGAAGGGAAAATCAAGTGCAATTTATTATTGTGTTCTGGAACTGCAGATATTGACCTGTTCTCTTGTATTGGGTGCACTGGTTCAGCAGTGAGCTGATTTAATAGCAAGGATTATCAGCACTCAATCTAATTTATGAGAGATTTTTACATATCCATAATTTTTAATAAACATACATTGCCCTCTGAAGTAGTAATGTAAATGCATTATTTAATGAATGATAGGTGTAAAACTAACCTGAGTGGTTTTACATTGTGCCCTAACAAATACACACCGTCTGTAAAGATGAGATACATATGGATGAGCTGCTATTCCAGTGGCCAGATTTAAAAAGCTGTATAGTTACAGACCAGGGGGGGTGTGTTGCTTTTGAGAGCTCAAGTCAATCATTTGCACTTTTATATACTCTTATGTTGTTGTTCTGTTGGATCAAAGTTCACTTTGGTAGCATAACTTCTTATCGTGGAATCGGTAACAGAACACAGAAACCAAGAACCTCCAAGAGAAAACAGTAATTTTTAAAGTTGCATAGGTTTATAAACATCATAAATACAAATATTTTATGTATTTATTCAAGAACTGATGTATTTGTGTAGAACTGGGGTGTCTGGTCAAGTGGGCAATGAAGCTGAGTAACTGTGTTTCTTCCTAGGCAATCTTTTCACAATTCCAGCACAGCCGAGAGAAAGCCCTCCCGTCGGACAACATGAGACACGCCCTGGCAGAAAGTTTCAAGGATGAACAGCGTTTCCAGCTTGGATTCATGGATGATGCAGCAGAATGCTTTGTGAGTGTCCCTGTGGCAGTTCAGTAGAATTGTGTTAGTTTAGCTGATGCCAAGCTGGCCTGTTGTTTCGGTAGCTCCAGGCTCACAGGGAGGATTCGAGTAACATAATGCTCCTGACCTTCTTTATGGCAGTTTAGGGCAGTGAGGATGATGAACTCTGAGTCACTCTTGGAAATTTCTGGGTGGAGAGAAGCGCTATCTTCTGAGGAGAAGCAGCACCCATGGATTTGAATGTGTAGTCTGTTCTTCATCAGCTGTTGAAATATATTCCATTACAACTCGCCAGCTCATTGCTGAATTCTTCTGCAGAAGAGATTTCCATTTTGTTATCCAAGAGGGAAGGGATACTTGAAGTAACCACTTGCTGTAATTACTTTCAGTCTGCTTTTATTAAGTGTCTCACTGAAAAACACGAGCCGTTAATGTGGCCATTAAAGATGACTCCAGATGGCACAGAACTCTGGCAAAGAAACCTTTCGAAGAGCTCCTGTGTTAGACAATGAAAATGTTCACCATAAAACACCTCCAGTATTAACTTTCAGACACAGATCTGAAGGGCAGAAAATATGATTGCTGCTTCAGTTACTTTCAGCTTTGGACATCTTTTGGAAGTATCCACAAATTAATTCCTCCTGCCTGCATTTTCACCTGAAAGCAATTGTTTGAGATCTTGCAGTCAGGTTAATGGATTGCAGTCATGAAAGAGAGCCTATCATTAATGTTTCATCTATTCAAAATGCATTTGAACCCTGAACTAATCAGCTGTCTGATCTACCTGACTAGACTCGCTTCTTCCCATTACCTCTGGTATTTTAGGCAAAAGATATAAAAATGGCCGTGCAGATTCAGGGGCCAAACTCGTGGCAATCATAGTACTTTTTGGTGCCAAAGGGAGTAGTTGGAAGTATTAAATTGTAACATTCCTCACGTATTCTGACTTCATCAGTTCAGTTTGTATTTACCTCGATGTTTCCTTTTAGGAAAATATCCTCGAGAGGATTCACTTTCACTTAGTGCCAAACAGTGAAACGGATATGTGCACTTCCAAATCCTGCATTTCTCATCAGAAGTTTGCTATGACGCTGTATGAGCAGGTCAGACCTTCATCTGATTGCTTTAACAAAGAACTTGTTTTCCCTGTGCTGAGTAAATAAAACCCGAAGTGTTTTTGGTGTTGCAGTGTGTCTGTCGCAGCTGTGGAGCATCGTCGGATCCGTTGCCTTTCACGGAATTCGTGCGTTATATTTCCACCACAGCCCTCTGGTGAGAGCTTTTCTTTTGTTAACTCACTTCTCTATATACACCCTTCTAATACTGTGCCAAGCATGCCAGAGAAATGCTGTAAGTGTTAATGTATTTCTTTGTTACCTTTTTGAGATACTGCCCAGAAATAACATTTGAATTTCAAAAGCAAGACGTAGAGAGAGCTTCACAAAAAAGTTTGTACTGCTACTGTTTGACCACTGTATACTTTCTTTCTAGTCATACAGTGTAGTCAGTTGAGAGTTGGCTGAAATCTGTTGACTCTTAAGAAGTGAGATCCACAGTTATGTCATTTATTTTTTACAGTAATGAAGTAGAAAAAATGATGGAGAGGCACGAACGTCTCAAGCCAGAAATGTTTGCAGAATTGCTGCAGGCAGCAAATACTGCTGACGACTACAGAAAGTGTCCTGTAAGTAAACAAAGATGTTACATTACTTTAAGACACAAGGGAGAACTCTCCAGGATATTAAATCAGGCTAAATATTCCCCTAACAAGCAGGGTTACCTCTGGATGCTTCAGCACACACCAGCTTAGGATGAAAAAAGCCCTTAAACTTATATTTTATTGCTCCAGTTATTGAGATTTCAGTTTTAAGGTGGTGATTGGTAGAAGTTAAGCTGTAGTCTTCATCAGAAGGATTTTATGATGAAGAATGTTACTCTTGAACTGTTAGAAACAAACACCACAACTAAATTTTAGAATTAGAAGAAGTAGCAGAATTGTTTTGTTGCACTAATTCTTGTGTAATAACTCACCTTTGGACTTCCATTTTTTAAACATCTCTGTTTTCCCCCCCCATCACATTTTTTTTCCCTTTTTCTAGAGTAACTGTGGTCAGAAAATAAAAATTCGTCGTGTCCTTATGAATTGTCCTGAGATTGTGACAATCGGCTTAGTCTGGGATTCAGAACACTCTGATCTGACAGAAGAGGTTATGAGGAATCTGGCTACACAGCTTTATCTTCCTGGGGTACCTGACCTAAAACTTACTATTTGCTTACTCTAGAATTTAATTTTGCATGGATTTTATGGTTATGTAAATATATCCAACATAGAAATACTCTCATGTATTTTTAAAAAGCACAATTTAACTTCCAAGTTTATGTCTGCTTTTCCCATTCTTTATAACGTGCTGCTTGATGTAGTTTCCATGAGAAGGAAAAGTCCTGTCAGAAGTGTTGGTTTTTGTGCCCAAGTACAAAGATTAATGTAGGTGTGTTCCTAGTTGAAAATCGAGGAATATAATTTTCAGCTGGAAATTTGTGGAATTATTCCAGAGCATTCATATTTTACTCTTTAAAATAGAGCTATGAGGTACAAAAATCAGTATTTATACTCAGGAAAAACTGTATAATGCTACAGGACAGTCAATACCAATTGCCTTGGTGAAATGCCAGCAGTAGGTCAGGAAATTAAGGCTAAATGTTTTACACACGTTTTAAAATAGATAACCATTTTTACAGCTGTTTTATAGGGTTACAGACGAAAATGCCAAAAATAGTGAGCTTTTTCTTGTGGGAATGATTTGCTACACGAGCCGACATTACTGTGCCTTTGCCTTTCACACCAAGAGCTGCAAATGGGTGCTGTTTGATGATGCTAATGTAAAAGAGGTAAATACTGGGTTTACTCCTTCCAAATTTAGTGATCTTTTCTTTTCTGGAGTGCATTTCTCCTGACGCCAAACTTGAAGAAAGTCGAGGCCACGTTTTTATTTTAATAAACTTTTAGTTTTGTAAATCAGTTTTCACAAATCAATTTTGGAGCTGGCTTCGCTACTTTGTAGTCGTGCCCTACAAATGCTGAACGTTTCAGGATGTTCGTGCACTTGTGCAGTTGAATTTGTACTTCTTTTAAAGAAAAAGAAGATACTGGCAGTTGTATTCATAGGAATGATGTTCTGATTGTTATCCCGTGTATTATTATTCTCTCTGCTGCAGTTTCTGTACACCAATGTGCTAAAAATGTTGAATCTTCATGTACCTTTGGAATTAGGCATTTGGTACCGGCTGCTTGACAAATTACTCTTTCTGTATTTGGCTTCAGGGCTGTTGGTAAAGTTCTGAGGTTTGTTTTGTTGTTTTTTTTCTTAGATTGGAACGAAATGGAAAGACGTGGTCTCCAGGTGCATTCGGTGTCACTTCCAGCCATTGCTGCTGTTTTATGCTAACCCAGATGGCACAGCTGTATCTCCAGAGGATGCACCAAAGCAGATTATTCACTGGTCTCAGTGTAAAACAGCAGGAGGAAATGGGGAAGACTTGGGTAATTAGATATATTTATTTTTAATAACAGTATCAGCTATATTTCTGAAATGGGGTTTATAAAGGAGGAGGTAATGGATTGGCTGCTTTGTTCTTATCAGTCATTATCTAAAGAGTCTCAAAAGAAAAGAGATTAGTGTATATAATCAATGTTAGAACTGTTTGGCTAATAAGGGAATAAAAATTGAGACTAATGGGTAATGGGGAAAAAAGATGTTCTGTTGTAGATTGGTCAGAACTGCTTTGCACAACTTCAGTAATTTGAGAAGACAATTGTAGTGTATTTGTAGATGTGGGTGTTCCTATGTGTGTATTGAAACATTTAAAATACCTTTTCAAAGTGCTATAAAAAGATACTTTAAAGCTTCATGCACATATAGGGATAGATTTGGAGATGTGTGTCTATGTGTGTATATATATATATACACACATATATGTATGTACAGAGAGCACAGTTCAGAACTTTGGGAAAAATCAAAAGGAGCTTCAGGAAACTTCTTTTATCTGAGATTCGTGTACACTAAGCCTCACTGTAAGAATCCAGCCCTTTTGGTTCTGCAGTTTGTTCTGCTGTCTAGGGTTTTTTAAATTATTTTATTTTAATCTTAAACATATCTTACAAGTAAATTAAATAAAAGCCAAATTGAATTTGACATGTTCCTCTTCACATAATGCATAGTGATAGGGCATAGACTGCTTCAGGGAGGAAAGAACTGAGGACCCTCTTCCACTACAGGCTACCACTATAAATATGGCAGTATATCAAATATTACAGAACCTTATTGCCTAGTACAGGGAAATGTAGTGTAGGTTTTAGTGAGGTTTTTCTTCTGTTTTGTTTCTTTTTTTTTTTTAATCTGCAATTAAAAAGCTTTCTTTTTTTTTTTTAATTTAGATATTGAAAATTTTAACTTGGGAAGCTTTTTCTGTCTAAAGCCAAATGTATTGTTTGACAGGATTTGAAAAGCATTCTGCTGCTAAATCAGAGCATGTGAAAGAGAATGGAATTGGAGACATTAATCAAAGGAGTAATAAAAAGCTTCAGCCAGATAATTCAGCATTCAGTAGAAGCCACATTCAAGCGAGTGGTGGTAGAGGTCCAGGTATGTATTCCCCATTCCCACCCAAAAAATGCCCAGATATGTCTTACTATGAAATATTTCAGATTATGGCATTTCAGGTGTGTGATAACCTCGGGAGTAGAAGTGTTTCTAAAGGAAGAATTCCATCACTGACTGACTGAGTTGTTGTTCAGACATTCGTTCAGTGTTTTAAGTAATATGTGAATATCTGCCATGGAAAGTTAACTTTTCCAGAGAACTGCAAATGCAGAATATTTTTTATTACCCTCATTATTCCTTCGCTAAAGTGGCTCTTGAGGCCTTGATCCCTTTCTCAATCATCATAAAGCTTTCCAGTCATGTTGTTGGTCGAAAGGCACATTAGTGACTTGAGGCTGAGGTGAGGCTCTGTGGATCACTGGCTACCTGAGGAACACTCTTCCCCAACAGTATTGTGATATGCAGCATTATTTGTAGTCCTGTATGTTAATGGACTTTGTTTGGGAAGAAATCCAATTTTCTCAATCTGTGTTATGTAATCCATCAGTCTTTTTAAGTAGTACTAATATAAAAAACTTAGGTTACGGTCCCTAAATGGTCCATGTGTGTGTGTTTTGATATATTTGTGTGTTTTGATGGTGAATGACTTTTGAGTAATGGTCTTTGACAAGAAGTGTTTTTTGCAGCTAAGTTGGGTTACAGCGATCAAAAGGACAGGCTGAAGGACTTATCCAGAGAGTGTGCTCAGAGAGCTGCTGACATGAAAAACTTCACATCCTTACGAAAAGACGCGGACAGAGGACCAAGGAAAGAGTCTGGGAGACAAAGAGGTACATTTTAAGAATGTGACCAGAGAATCCACGGGTTAAATAGCTTTCTCCTTTTAAGAGAAATTCAATATTCTGAAATACGTACTGGATTTGTAGAGATACTGTAAGAAACATTAGTAGTGTAACAATATCAGTTCAATGACCACTCCCACCTTGGAGGTGTTCCAGGCCAGGCTGAACGGGGCTTGGAGCAACCTGGTCTAGTGGAAGGTGTCTCTGCCCATGGTAGGGAGGGTTGGAATGAGGTGGTCTTTAGGGTCTCTTCCAACCCAATCCATTCTCTGAAACATGAATGAGAACTGTAATGGAGCTTTTTTCCTTTTGTCCTTACAAGATTTGATTGGGGAAGACCGTTCCAGCGTGAAGTCGGGGTCTCCTCCCGTTGGAAATGGCCTCAGGCACTGCGTGGATCAGCGGATATACAGCAGCCAGGGAAGAGGCCCCTACAGGCACGACAGCGCACCTCACCCAGCAAAGCTTTCTGCACACGTGCTCGGATCAAATAAAACAGAACCTTTTGCTGCTGGGGAGAAAGCAGTGCCAAGGACGCGGCCTGACGGTGTCACTGGCTATGATACGGACACCAGTCAGGACTCCAGGGACAAAGGAAGCGTCAGCAGCAGGAGCAGAAGTAAAGGTTGGAAACCGATGCGGGAGACGCTGAACGTAGACAGCATTTTCAGTGAGTCCGAGAAAAAACAGCACAGCCCAAAGCACAAGGCAAACCTGAGCAGTAAATCTAAGCACGAAAAGGAGCGCAGCTTTAACCACTGGCCAAAAGAGAACCAAGTGCAGAAGGGTTTAATGACTATATATGAGGATGAAACGAAACAGGATACGGGAAGTCGAAGTTCACTGGATTCGGAGGGAAAAGGGAACGCTGAAAAAAGCAAAGGATTTACAGAGAGAAAAGTCCATGGTGATAACTGGCAAATTCAGAGGACAGAATCTGGATATGAAAGCAGTGATCATATCAGCAACGGATCTGCAAATCCGGACTCCCCTGTTATTGAAGGAATCAATCCGGCAGATGTCAAGAATGTGAAAGAAAGTGCTTCCTGCAGGTAATGCTCACGCTCTTAGTGCTTGCATAGATGCTATTCATAGAAAACCAAGCTGCTCTAATATTTATGTATTGTTCAGAAAACAAAAAACCCAAGAAAACATGCTTTGGAACTTGCTTGGGGTCAGGCATGTGGAAGGCTGGAGTGTGTCTAGAAGTAAGGGTGTGGGCAATTAAGTGTCCCATTTGCCTTCACGCTGAGGCTGCAGCGCTGGTTCCCTGTGGAAGGCACTGAGCCAGACACTGCTGAGCCTTGCTGAGGGACAGGGCGTGTTCATTCCTAGTAGTTGCTACACTTCTTTACTCAGGAGACTTTTAGACTGTGGGCAACTTTCCATCTGTAGTAGAACACAGTGTCCATATAAACCATACCTGTAACATTTGTACAGACAGGCCCTGACAAGGAGATGGGATTGGCAGTAGGTGACTCTTGTGTGCTGTTACTACTCACTGTGCAGAAATTCAGCGTTCTAGAACACTTCAGATATTGATCACCTGGTAATTGATTGACCGGTTTGAAATTACTAAAACTGGCCCAAAATGTGGTTAGTAGCCGTATTTTATTAGACTTACTTAGAAGGGATGTATGTTAGGAATTAAGTATCCTGTTCAGGGATGTTGTGTAATCTCTGTCTGTGAAGATATACCCCTAACCCAGCAGGATGTGATCCTGGTATGGAGTTGACCCTGCTTGACCAAGGGGGTTTGGACTAGATTCCAGCTTCAGTTTATGTGGTGCTGTGAAATAGAATCCTCCCACATGCAGTTTTCTGTATTGTGTATCTTAAACTGTTAGTGGAAGGATCCTACCTAGAACCCATCCATTCTTCTTTCAAATCTTGCTTATATCCTTAAAATGAAAGAGCACAGATAGAATCACAGAATACCCTGAGTCAGAAGGGATCCACGAGGATCACTGAAGTCCAACTCCTGGCTGTGCAACAGGACAACTCCAGGAATCACACCATGTGCCCGAGACTGTTGTCCAAATGCTTCTTGAAGAGTTGAGAGGCCAAGCCTGGTCACAAATGATTGCTACATCTCTGCAAATGTTTGGACATATATTTTCATGAGAAGTTATTTTATGGGAAAAAACAACAGCAAATACCAGGAAATGAAAAGGCTTTGACTTCCTTCCAGTACCTGAAGGGAGCCTACAAGAAAGATGGAGAGGGACTTTTTACAAGAACCTGGAGTGAAAGGACCAGAGGGAATGGCTTCAAACTGAGAGAGAGTAGGTTTAGATTAGACATTAGGAAGAAATTGTTTACTGTGAGGGTGGTGAGGCACTGGAACAGCTTGTCCAGAAAAGCTGTGGATCCCCCCATCCCTGGAAGTGTCCAAGGCCAGGTTGGATGGGGCTCTGAGCAACGTGGTCTAGTGGAAGGGGGGTTGGAACTGGATGATTTTTAAGATCCCTTCCAACTCAGACCAATCTGTGATTCTCCAAGTGGAGATGCAAAAGTTTAGAACTTATTTCATAAAGTATTGTAAGAAGTTATCAAAGCAAACTGCTTAGTTAAAAACATACAAAATGCAGCTTCCATAGTGAAATGTCTTTGATTATTTTGAAACCACAAGAAAGCAAAATCAGTCATTTTTGTCTGTCCGTATTAAAAGATTCAGGTCATCCTAAATTTTTGTGGATCAGCACAGGCTGCCACATGTGGGAGCAGTGCTAAAAGCAGTGTTCAAATCACATATGTGCTTCTTTTACAGCGAACAGAACTCGTCAACCAAAAAAGCTGAGCATGTGTTACATCCGGTGCCCCAGCAGAACAGAAACTTCCACGGTAAGAACCCCTAGAAAGGTTAAGCTGTCAAAAAGTATGTGAGATGTACCAGAATTTGAAAATGTATTAATATCACACAAGAGATGGGCAGATTTCTGAATAGCCTTTTGTATTTTTTATCATTTTGCTGCATAAATTAATGTCTTCATCTGTCGCAAAATCAAAATATGTATGTACCATTTATCATTGCTTTTTTTTTAACAAGCCATAACCAAATATTTCAAAGTTAGGCAATTTGTGTATCAGGTTGGCTGTATTTCAGTGTATTAGAAGAAAATTGGCATGGAATTTGTGGCTGTTTTGACCATGATGGAAGAGGTTTTCTTATATACTTATTTTCAGTCGAGATCTCTCTTACTGACTCATCATAGCCTGTGTACTCTGTCTTCTTGAAAATGGCAGAGGAAATATGTTTTGTGGGTGTTTTTCCTGCCCAGTGAATTAGAAATTTTCTTGAAGCTTTTCAGTGAGCTATACTGATGGATGAAGATGAAAAGCGTTCATATCCTTTCTTTGCTCTTGTTGTTGGATTTGTTTTGTTGGGGTTTTTTTGTTTTGGCAAGTGGGCATGTTTCTCCTCCCCCTACCCCTTACCCCCCCCCCCAAAAAAAAACCCAACCCAAACACAAAAAACATTGTAATTTTGTTCACTCCCCGTGTTTTCCCCAAAAACCATTTCCATGAACTTTCTTGGTGGATACTAAGGAAGGTTTTTTTTTTTCCTTAAAGGTCTGGGTGGACTGTGGTACCATTTGTTTTCCTTCAAGATATGAAGCAATATCAGGAAGAAACACTTGTAACAAGGAAGTCTACTTCCTTTTACATACTAATATGTCTGCTGGGGTTTTATAAAGTTGATAAATGCCTTGGCATATAAATATTATAGGTCAGCTTGAGGCCAGCCAAAATCATTATCTGCTGGTGCTGAAACAATGGAAGGGTGCTTGTACAAAGAGGGGCAATAAATATTAGGCCACTTCCTCAGGAAACATTTGATTTTTATAGATATCATACTTCTTTCCAAATAATGTATAGTATAGTATAGTTTCTCCTAAGACTTAAAGTAGGGAGTGGGGGTGCTGCCATACCACTTCTACCTTTCCTAGCCTTATTCTAACCTATTTTTTGGTTGTAGGAAGAGAACTAATTTGGTGTTTTATTTTGATGAGCAAAAAAAAAAAAGCCCCAAACCCAAAAGTGAGTTGCATGGAATGCAAAGATCTGGTTTTGCATGACATTCACTCTGCTTTAGTTCTGCACTACACCATTCTTATCAAACACACTTGGATAGGAAAAAAAGAAAAAAACACCAGTGAAAAACACATAAAGGACTCTGGGGTGAAAAACAGGTGGGTTAAAACAATGGTTGAGCTTGTAATGAGTGTTCTCTGGAGAGAGTACTTAAGTATACTGAAAACTTTCAACATTTTACAAACACTGTACATTTTCTTTAAAAAAATGTAGTGATTTCAGGTGATCCTTAGAGTTCTCCTTAAAAAACTGATGATAGCATCCCATCTAATCAGTTATTTTAATTCAGTGACTAACTTTTGAATAGTTTCATAACAAAAATGTATGTATTTAAATCAGTTGTGAAGGTCTCACGTGTGCAAGTTTTGGAAAATAATACTTTTAGTGGAACTGATTAATGGACAGAAAAGATAATCTGAAGAGTTTGATCATTTCACATGTGTATTGGGCTCACGATTTATTTAGTCTCAGTTTTAAAAGTGTGTCAGGACACCTTTAGCAAGGACAAGAGTAGTCATTTACATGTTTCAGTTGTGTTACCTATGTTTTATCTCTGGGTGTTTATGAACAAGACGTGGATTGGTAGGTAAGAACCAAAGAGGCTCCCAGAAAATAGTACTTTTAAAAAAAATGCTCAGTCCTTTCTGAGAGAGGAATGGAAGAAATCTTCGTTAGGCTCTCATGGCAACTGCAACAAATATGTCTGAGTGGGTTTTCTGTGGGGAAAACTTCTTATGGAAATAATGTTGGACTTGTAATTCTGCCCACCGTTTGTGTAACTGTGCTTTTCCAGCTCCTTGTTTTTAACTGGAGCTGAATAAGGAAGGCTACTGTTCAGCAGTTGAGGAATTCTGTCCCTGACTTACAAAAATAAACTTATTGTTAGAGCATTATAAAGATAGAAACACTGGATCACGCAGTGGTGGGGAGATCAAATGGCTGCTGCTTACACTGGCAGTGAGCAGTTGATAACTAGTGCTGAAGCAAAGGTCCCCCAAGGCCAATCCCTAATTTGTGTGGCCGGATTTTGGCAGGACAACACAAATATTGAGTAAGCAGATATTCATATTAAGCATAATTCATATTAACGACTTAGTGTTTATGAAGCTTGAACTTGATGAACTGAGGAGGAGAGGTTTTTTTTGGTTATGAGGAACATGTGACATGAGCAGTGCGAGGGCAAAACTTCCAACCTCACATTCTTCCAATTGAAGAATGATGACTATAATTTTAATGGTTTTCCTGTTAATTATTAAGCTTAATAGCATGAGACAACTCCAGCTGAAATCTAGAATCATCCTGAAGCTCTGGTGAGTGTGTGTAAAGAAGAATCCAAATTGCCTTTGCTTCCAAAAGTACAGTTCCTTGAATATAAGGATTTCTTTTTTTCCCTGAAAATTGGTCACCATTTTTAAAAAATAATATTTTATTTTGGACAAGTTATAATGTGTTTACCTTCTTGACTTGGATTATGTTCTTGTTCAACATTTCCAAAGCTTCCAGTAAGTTTGCCTGTAATTTCCACTTAATTCAGAAAATGTCTGGGTTAAGAGAGAGGAATTTGCCACAATATGTGTTATGAAAAATAGTACAATTTGGTTTTTTATTGATAAAGTTATTTTAAAAAAAAGTAAGTTGTTTTTTTTTTTGTAAAAAAATTTCCAGGAAATGTGCGGCTACAACACATTAGAAGGAAATTGAATTTAATGTGGAGTTGAGTTTTTGTTGGAGATTTCTGTATTTATGCTCATGTGGGGGTTTTTCCCCCACAGAAAGCAGATTTTTGCACATGTTCTGTATTTGTAAATGGAGATACCAGAGGAGAAGTTCTGTCCTAACAGTGGGCTATAGAACAGATATTAATATCTTGGAAATCTCGATGGACTACTCAGACGTGAAAATAGGTGTTCATAAATCTTAAAAGCAGGCAGTTTGTACCTCCTAAAGCAGCTTCCTCTCATTTATTGCTCAGCTCCTCGAGCCCCATTGATAAGGATGCCGGGCTCCGGCCGAGCGCCGCGCTTGTGCCTCCCCATATTTAGGTTCGCAGAGGACGCGGAGCCAAAATTCCCGATGGAGCCGGCGTCCGGTTTTACCCGTGCATGGCTGTCCTGTCAGCAGCAGGGAAAATAACAGGTCTATTTTTAAGGCCGGCTGGAATTCTGCGGGCGCGGGGCGCGCGGGGCGGCCGGAGGTGCCGGGGGAGCCGCCTGGGCTGTGCTGCCGCCCCCGGGCCGGCCCCCGGTACTGCCGCCTCCCCAAACGAAACCATCGCGCCCGGCACCGCTGGGAAACGTTCTCTCCTTGAAACGCTGCTCCGTGTTACTGAGCTCACTGTTAGGTGGAGCAGTTTTGAACTGCTGCTTTTTTCACTGTCAGGACGTGAAGGAAAGCCATAGGTTGTCTCTTGTGCTGTATGCTGATTTAACCTCTGCTACCTGTGTTCTTGCTCAAAGATGGTGCCTTTAGTCTTTCATCATTTAAAGACAGGGCAGATATTGACCATCAAAATGAGCATCACCCAAAGTTTTTAGTTTAATTCTGTTCTGTTGTTGGGCTTTTGACTTGTGTGTTCATGAGTCAAAAGTTCCCTGACTTCTAATACTTAAACTTCGTGAGGTAACAAGTGAAACAGGTGTGTAGTTATGAGTCTAGTCTATACATAGACAAAATAAGCCATTGTAACAATAATAATAATAATAATAATAATAATAATAATAATAATAATAATAATAATGCCATTCCTTTGAATGGCTTCAGAGCAGGTGACTGATTATAATGGGCTAATCACTGCATTAGGAAGACTTAGAGTATCTATCTCTAAACAAACAGACTGTTGCTTGTCACTTGCCAAGGGAGTGTTTTATTCTGTGTGGTGTTGACACGAATACTTCAAGGCTTCCTTTATTTACTGTTCATCAGGAGCTGCCTTGTTCAGAAATTGTGTATTTTGGGGGAATGTTTTTTTGCCTGTCAGTAAAACACTGGCTCAGGCACTCAGTGGTGTGTGTTTGGGGCACGTGAGTGACAGTGCTCTCGGTCTGCTCAGCATCTCTGCGAGCTGTACAGTCTCGCTCCAAGGTTTTAATCGTTCCAAAGAATGTATTTCTTTAAACCCACATACAAAAAAACCCCCCTAAAACGTCCCAAATCCCTACATTCATTTGATTTAATGATTATTACATGATGTGAAATTTAAGATTTCATAAATAGTTTTTATTTTGTAATTTAAATGATTTTGGATGGTGGAATAAGCAAGCATGGTTTAATAAAAAGCTGCTTTTGAAACTGTGCTTTTAGTAAGATTAAATATTAGGGTGATGCTGAAAGTGCGTCTATAGGACTTGTGATAATTACCTATTTTCTGGTAACAAAAAACCCAGAAAATTATCTCCAGATTATTTAGCATTAAGGTGAGATCTGGCCACCTGTGACAGGTTGTCTTCAAAGTGGCTATTTTGATTAATCTCAAACTTTGAAAGGCATTAATTGTCCTGTTGTGTTGTGTGTTGTTTGTTTTTGTAACCTCTGAGCAATTACAAAGAAGGAATTGGACTGTATATATGCTTATTTTGAAATACCTTTTTTTTCTACCCCCAGATTTGAGGAAAGACCAGTTCAATTCTGAAGTTAACTACAGACCTCATGTTGGTTTCCCAACAGAATTACATATGCAGGTGCCCAGTCCTCAAGTAAAGAGGTAATTAATACTGGCATCATTTACTCTATAATAGTTTAAGAAATGTTGAATTCTGTTATGTTACAATAATCAATATTAAGCACTGAAAAGCTAAGGTATTGAAAGTTTTGACAATCAAGAATCTAAACACAAATTTAGCAGGCAAAAGTAACATCCAATATTTGAAAGTGGATGTATCAGTCACAAGGATGCTAAAAAGAGAGCAGAGATCATGTTTGACATAGTCCTGAATGTTGAAGGAATTTATCTTACCTTGCAGCTCTTGCAGAGATTTTTCTGGGGGGCACTTTACATTTCAAATGAAAGAAACCTTGGAGTAATTTAACACAACTTTTAATCAATGGCTGTAAGTTAAACAGATTCCAGTTCTCTCGTCAGTTTGAATATTTAGGCAGTTTTACCAAGACTGTCTTTGAAAAAATCCTTGGGCTATTTGAACCCCTTCATGTGTTTTTAGGGATACTTACATCTTGTGTGTTTTTGTATTTTAGAGCTGAAATGCCTGAGACCAACAAGAAATTTTTCCCCTCATCAGCTCTACAGCCAGTTGTCAGAGACATTGTGAAGTCGGAAAGCAGGAACAAGGCAAACGGACAGAATCCTTCAGAGTGGCTTCACCCGGACAGGTTTGAGAAGGTGAACGTGGCAGTGTTCTGTCCTGATGGCATATCCCACCCCCACCCCGAGAATGCCTGTGGCAGGAAGCTGCTCCACAGTGACTTTGTGCCCTCCGCCCAGCCGCAGTCTCACCACACAAGAACGCTCGGTCCCAAGGTGGGCTTGGTGCCCTGTGTGCCACAGTCCCTGCCGGAGAGGGCCGTGGTGCTTCCCGCCCCTCCCGCTGAGCACGCCGGGCACCCGCTGCGGAGGGGGGATGCCCTTTGGGTGCCTGAAGCAGTGTACCAGAACGTCCCTCCCCCTCTGCCACCCAAGAAATATGCTCTGAATACTTTGCCGGGATCAGAGGGTAACTCGGCAGCGGACGTAAAACCCACGGAAGCGTTGCAAAGTAATCCACTGAGGCCAACAGGTGCACCTCCAAAACCTGCACCAGAACCGAGTGTACTCCCACCAGAACAAAGGCTGAAAGAGCCCTTTCCGGGGAACGAACTGTTTGTCCACAAACCGGACTCTCCACCTCGCTTGTCAGTCAATGACTTCTGGACCGTGTCTGAGAACTTGTTAAAGAAAGGATCCCGTCACACGGGGCCGAGTCCTGGCTACGTGGACGGGAACGACAGCGTGTCCCTCACGACCTACTTCTCAGTCGACAGCTGCATGACTGACACCTACAGGATGAAGTACCACCAGAGGCCCAAGCTGTACTTTACGGAGAGCGGGAGCTTTCCCAAGGAGAAGCATCCTCCAGCAGCTGGGGTAGAACTGAACGCTACGTACCACGCCACCCTGGAACCCAGGCACCCCGCACCCGAGCCGAGGTACAAGGCAAATGCAGAAGGCATCCACTGCAGCCGATAGATCCATAAAAAAACCCCACACCCGGATCTGACTTTTGCATTTCATGTAGTCTGTGAACGGGCACAAACCTTGAATGTGTGTGTGTGTGATAACCAGGTACCCAGCTGACCGTACTTTGCGTGGGAGTTACCACTGTTCCAATGAATATGCAAATTGGAGGCCAACGGAGGAGAAGAGGTGCTAAACTTGTGGTTCTTTGATTTGTTACTCTAGTTGCCTTAATGCTTACCTCTGTTACTCAGCTTGTCTTCTACAGTTTGTACTAAACATGGTCCCTTGGGGTGTGCACATCTTACAGCAGTGGGATCGACTGGACGTTACTAAATCTGTAAGAAGATTTAATTAGTTGCAGTTTAAGAAGTGCTCCTTCAGACTGTGGTCACTACCTACTTAGACTAACAAAAGGGATACCACATAAAATGCAGTAAATGTAGTAATAATAGAGTATTATTTGTCCTGAGAGGTGGCAGGAGATGACACGGTTTTTTCAACTGACTTCTCCGAGAGTCTGTGCTTTCACAAACCTTCAAGTGTCTTTAATACAAGTTTACCCAGAGGATTTATTTTTTATTTGAAAAGCCTTAATAATAATAATCCTTTAAAAACCGTCCTGGTTTGCAAATGCTAAATGAGACTTTCAAAGGGAATTGAAGTAAACTGCAGTAATACTGTCCTATTAATACACCTGCTCTATGTTAGTGGACGTTTTTAAACACATTTATCAGATTTTGTTCACCCTATAAGCTATATACTTTAACTTATTAAATTTAACTACATCACTTACAAACTGGTATAAGAGAATAGGATGCTAATTTTAAATACAGAGTTATCATGCAACTATGAAAGATTAGTTTTCTAAGGTTTTAGATAGAGTTACTGCTTCTGTTCAGTTCTGATTTATCCTCCAAGTGCATGCAAAGTTATTGCTGCTATTTATTAAGCTTCCCTTCTTTTCCAACTTGACATTTTGAGCATTGGTTCATGGGGATCACACATTTGATTTTTTTTTTAATTAATTTTCTTTTACTGCTGTGTTTCCCCCTCTGGAACCGCCCTACACATGGGTGTGGTCTGCATTAGCAGATCGGGCTGAACGCGCAGCCCTTCAGACTGTGGTGGCTGAGGGGCAGGGAAAGAAGAGGTTCCTCCTTCTCTGCTCCGTCACTGCCTACAGTTTTGGCAGCTCTGGCATTTACCTTGTCTTTTGTTAACCTGACTTAGTAACAAAGGGGAGGATTTATTTGGCTTTTATTTGGTTAGTTAAATCAGTGCACAGAACTATCTAGCGTGTGCTGAGGCAGTGGCAGCAAAGCCTGACACGATCCAAAAAGGCTAAATTTTTCCATTACTCACATTAGAGTGTTAACTTGGGGTGCTGCTGATTACACCTAAATCATCAATGCCTTTTAGTTACAAAAATAATGCAACAAGGTTAAAGATGCATAATAAACACTCTTGCTTATACTTGCACTGTTAGTCAGAAAGGCTTTTTTTTTTATGTTTATAACTTTATGTACATGAATTTTAGTGCTCCAGCCAAACGTTGGCAATTGTTTAGCACAATTATCTAAGGTAAACACTTAAACATTACTTTTGGTTATTCTGTGGCAAGGTCAGTTTTTTTTCTTTTAAATTACATGCAACTTACAGTAGAACTGGAACATTATATATATGCAACAAACCAGGTATCTCAGATTAACCTTATTTCTACCTTCTTGATCAAAGTTAGTTGTAGCACTTGGAAAAAAAAATGAATTCAAGGATTTATAGTGAAAATACTATGCATGTTTAGGTATGGCTGCTGGTAAACAGCAACTTAAAAAATGATCCTTTTGTAAGAAAAATCAGTTGAATACAGAAGAACACTAAAAATGTAAGAACGTGGGTGATTCCTATTGTAATATTTTTGAGAGAGATTTCAGAACCTGTAAATTAAACTTTTCTAGTTCATCTAGCCATGTTACATAATATACATAGCCAGTTAAGTACAGCTGTCTTCTAATACCTGTGTAAAAAAACCCCAAGATTTATGGAATTTGTAAATAATGTACAATTTGTAAAATGTTTTGCAAAAAAGAAAAAATAATCTTGTATTTGAAATGACAGTATTTTTATGTATGAATAGCACAGCAACAACTGTGAATGATGTTAGAACACTTATTTTTAAACATGCATAGCAACGTTGCTACTTCTGTCCCAGGAGCAATATGAATGCCTCTTACTGATACCAATGAACTCGGCTCCCAGGAAGCACAACTGGTAAACTCATTTCTGAAGTAGCTGCAGTGATTTAGATGTTCTTCAGTCTCCTTGCTTGGCTTGAAACAATCTTACCAGACAACTCTCTCTGTGCCCCCCATGTTTACCAGGTATTTAATTATCCTCCCCAGACAGCTAATCGAGGCACCTTTGTTTTTATATTTGACTCTGCACTCCCTGTATGTATGTATGTAATATTTGCTAACTAATATGTGATAACTCATTTTAACTTACCTAGGGTGCCTATTTATTTTTTTATAAATGTCCCCTCCCGGCTATAGATTTGTATAAGAGCCTAGACAATTTTTGTAACAGTAAAGATATTAACAAGTCTTGTAATTAATATATATTTTTCAGTCTTTAGAGTTATTTTCTTGCGAAGTTCTGCTTGTTCAAAATATCAAGATAAAAATTTAAAATCTTTGGTGTCTGTTCTTTTTTTACTTCACATTTTAAAAAAAAAAGTTGGCTTTCCAGAACAGCAGTTTTGAAGTTAACGCTGCTGTTGATGGTTGAAAGTTTTTGCAGAGATGGTGGTTCACTTACCTTTTCTGAACAGTAAAATTTGAAGTATTTGTTTATTAAAGCTGTTAAATAGATTAAACTTTTTTATACTCATGAAATGCATAAAGCGATTTTAATACCATAATCCCTCATATCTGGCGACAAATGACTGATTTAGTTACACAAGCTCTCTTTTCACCTTTATTAGAGATAAGCAAAGTTTTCCTGGATATATGTATTCCTGAACTTCAGGTGCTGTGAAAGAGCTTGAGCCCAGTGCAGCACAAGCCTGCACTTTGTTAGCTCTTCAGTTTTCTGAGACAAGTAAAACCTTGGATGCCAGATCTGCCTGAAGGAGAAAACTAGATCACTAGAAGATACCTTGAAATTTCACTTTCTAAAGGCTATAAAGCTGAATATCACCTGTCTTCCTTAACAAAAGAGAAATGGAGCAACACTGCAGTGCTTAATAGGTTGTTCCCTTGAGATTTCCCTGGTGAAATCATGCCAGAGGGGAGAAAAAATAAAGTGTAATAATAATGAAAAAAGAGTAGGGTTCCAGTTTTTAGAGGATTTCACTAATTTTTTTACTTGTGAGAATGGAATCACAATTCAATGCTCTTCTGCACCGAGTCAAGATCTCTGAAAGCCCTGACTGATTTCATAGGTAGCAGCAGCCAAAATCATAAGTGTCAGCAGGGAAGGGCATCTCCATTCTTACAGCACAGGTCTGACACATAAAACAAGCCCCTCTCACTGGCAGATTTGTCTTTAGCAATGAAGGAAAAATAAAGGGAAAGAGCATCTGCCCACTTTTGCATCCCAGATCCCAGTAGAGAGGCCCATTTTCATTTAATGTCTTAGGAAACACCAAAACACTTTACACTTCAAAGTCTCTGCAATCTAGTTATTATATTTATTCCTGAAAAAAAACCCAAACCAACTATGAACTGTGCTTCTCAGAATTAGAAACTAGCATTCTCAAGGGAAAAATACTAAAGAAAACTGAGCCCCCTTCATCCATAGTTGGAAGACTGTCTTCTCCAAAACGTGACTGGATATAAAGCTTACTATAAATATACATATATATATATATAAATACTGACCCTGAGGAGGCTCAGTAACTGCTGAAGGTGAAGAAGAAAGAAAGGTGTAATAGAAACCCAAACAGCATCAAACCCTCACAATTAACTTTTTGGAAGTAAAACAGCTGGTTAAGCTTCACCTGTTGTGGGAACAGGGCTGTGTTACAACTTGAGTCTAGGCAAGAGCAGGGTTTTATTCTCGGCCACTCTGCAGAGTGTCCTTTCAGTGGGTTTTATTCAAGCAGTGCTTTCTTCCCTTTCTGCTGCACAAACCTTCAGGCACTGATTACACAAGCCCAGTCCATCCATCTTACACAACCTTTAAGGCACAGTTTAGAGCACAGAAACAGGACACAGAAACAGGTAAAAACCTGTAGCGGTAATATTGTGACACAGACAGAGATATATTATGGTATTACTATAAATATCTGCCTCTTGTATCCAGCTGCAAGTGGAGCCGTGTTCCCAGCTGCTTATCCCGCACAAATGGTCCTCCTCCTCCACTGTTCGTGTTTACGAGGTGCATCCCGCGGCGACACAGCGACTCTGCGGGAAACAGAAAAGGCCAGGTTATTTTTGCAGTGCTTTTGTGCGTTTGGTTTGAATTAATTTGCCACTTCCTGAGAAGCGTTTGTGCTTCGCAGGCCTTCTGTGGGACTTTCCGGGGCAGGAACGCCGGGGCTGCTCCCAGAGGCCTTCCCTCCGCGGGCACAGCCCGTCAGAGCTCTCCTCTCCCTCCTGTTATCCCCCGGCCACCCCCGGGGGCCCCCCTCACCTGGGCCCGCACCCTCAGGGCAGCAAGTAGATGACCACGAAGAGCGCCAGGTCGAAGAGGACGAAGAGCCACAGGTCCAGCCAGTAGGACTGTCCCGACAGTGACAGCGATCGTGACAGCGGCTGGCCGCCATTCCCCTGCTCCAGCCGCCCATTCCGCTCCTGCCGCCGCTCCTGCGGCCGCCGCGCCACCGCCTCCATCTCCTCAGGGCTCTCCCGGCGGCACCAACGCGCAGGCGCCACCGGCTCTTCCGCGTTCCGGGCCAATGAGAGCGGAGCGCACGTACCGCGGCCACGCCTCGCGGACCCAGCGCGGCGGCACCGCCCTTCCCGCGTCACGTGCAGACCCCTCCCGCATCAGGGGCGGCACCGCCCGTCCCGCCTCACGTACCCCCCGTCCCGCCTCACGTACCGCCCGTCCCGCCTCACGTACTGCCCATCCCGCCTCAAACACCGCCCGTCCCCGACCTCAAGTACTGCCCATCCCGCCCTCAAAAACAAAAAACACCGCCCGTCCCGCCTCACTTAACGCCCGGCCCGCCTCCAAACACCACCGCCCGTCCCGCCTCACGTACTGGCCCCTCCCGCCTCAAACACCGCCCTTCCCGCCTCACGTAACGCACCGCCCTCCCCCCCCCCTCAAACACCGCCCGTCCCGCCTAACGGACCGCCCCTCCCGCCTCACTTACCGCCAATTCCGAAGCAAGTACCGCCCATTCCGCATCACGTACCGCCCATTCCGAATCAAACACCGCCCTTCCATATCAGGCACCGCCCCTCCCGCCTCAGGTACCGCCTCAGGTACCGCCCCGCACGTCATCTGCTCAGGGTCCGCCCCGCCCATACCGCCTCAGGGCCCACCCCACGCCCCCTCAGGCACCACCCCTCCCGCCTCAGGGGCGGTCCCGCTCTTCCCGCCTCAGGCACACCCCTTCTCGCCTCTCCCGCCTCAGAGATCGCACTTCCAGCCCCAAGCACTGCCCTTCCCGCCTCAGGCACACACCTTTCCACCTCTCCCGCCTCAGGGACCGACCTTCCCGCCTCAAGCACTGCCTTTCCCGCCTCTCCCGCCTCAGGCACGGCTCTTCCCGCCTCAGGCACTGCCGTGTCCCTCCCGTCCCACACACCATCCCGCCCTTCATCTTCTGAGGTACCGCCCTGCCCCTCACGCCTCAGGGACCGCTCTTCCCGCCTCAGAGATCGCCTCTCCCTCCTCAGACACCTCAGGGGAGCCCGCCCGGTGAGACGCGGGTGTGGGGAAGAGCGGGTTGCCAGTCCTGTCAAACCGTGTTGGTCTTGTCCTGTCAGATGTACTCGGACTTGGGTGGGAGTAAACATCCACAAGTTAATCCTGGTACGGTTTATCGGTGAGCAGATGATGCCCTGAAAGAAACCAAAGAGGTCACGCGGGAAATCCTGTTGTGAAGAAGTCTGGGAAAACTGAAGTTGTTTTAAGATACACTCCTCTCCTTGAAGGTTAGTTGGTGTTTGTACACGAAACAAACATGGAAAAGTTCATGTAGGCGGTGTATTCTGTGTCCTTTGTTTATGCAACACACAGCTGCAGAAGAAATTAAATGGAGCAGCACAACCTGATGCCACACTCACAGTCAGGATGTGCCACCCTCAGTCCAGCCAGTTCCCTTCATATTGAAAGCAGGGCAATTGTTTTCATCATGTCCAGAAGAGTGACCAGAAACCTAGGAATATGCTAAACAAAAACTTCTTCTTTGTAGCTATTAACCCTTTTTAGCCTCATATTAAGAGACAAGGCAATGCATGCTGAAGAATGCAGAGCAGGTGTATCTGAACAGAGCTTACTTCTCAACATGCACTTCGGGATAGTTATTTTCCTTAATAAGTTCTGTCAGTAGAAATAAGGATGAATGTGGTTTTATATAGCAAATATTGGTTAAGCATATGTGTGTTAGGTGAAGTATATTAGAGATTTTGGAACGAAACAATGACAATACTTCCCCTTTAAGCCTTGTACCCCTCTGTGTTACCTCGCTAGAGCAAAAGGAGCTGTGGTTTGTGGGTTTACTGCCTGTATCAGGAGAGCATTTTGGCAGAAGAGGGAGCTGTGAGACGCTGAAGACATCATATTTTACTCCACGTTTATACTTACATAGAACAGTCTTGGAGCCCTGGGTGTTGTCAGGTTTATTTTAGGTTTTGCCATCCTTTTTACACAACATCCAATACACAGAGAAACTGTTTCTCAGTATAAATACTAAGGAAGGTTAGTAAGGAAACTAACTTGCCATTTGATAACCTATGCAAAGATATTTAAGTTTTGCTTATGCAAAATAGTTTCTGCAGCCCTTTATCTTATGGCACTCAGATAGGACTTGGGAAAGACATTTTAGCATATGGTAATTGGATTTTTTTTTTTTATTCAAGGCAAAACAGTAACATAAGGAACTAGCCTGCATTTTCACCAGGGCTAGGTAATTGCAGCTTAGGAGGTGCTGCGAGGGGATAAAATAGAAAAAAACCCAGCAGAGGATGTGTAGAAAATGGTCTTCTTTCATTGCTCCTTCATTCTGGTGCTGTTCTGGGTGAAGTGCTCAGCCCCTTTTGAAGATTCTCTTGGATTCAACTCCTTCATATATATAGGTCTGTTAAGAAATGAAGAAGAAAAATCAGTGGCTGGTATTGCAAAGTTCCCTTTCACAGATGCTGTTGAGAAGGGGTCAGTAATGAAGGAATGAATTGTGAGGGGTGGCTGTGCAGGCTCTGGGGAGAGGAACATAAGGAAAGCAGCCTGTTGTCAACAGGCATAAATTCTCTGTGCAAATGTCTGAACCACCACAGGGCAGCTTTTGGGGTCTCAGGAAAAACCCAAAGGACACTTGGAAAAGGGCCTTTAGCCACAACACATCTATACAGTGTATATTTACTTATCCGTCTGCCTCCTGTACAGAACTTGTATACAGGCTTCAGAATGCATGGATAAGATACAGTTCACATGTGGAGGAAAACGTAAAAATCACAGGTTGTGAGTTTTATTTTAAAGTGTTAAATTTTAGTAGGTGACTGGAGGATTTTAACTAAAGATAAATGAAGTTATTTGGCTTTGATGAAATATTCCTACTTTCAGAACAGCTTTTAAATTTTTTTCACTTCATTCTATTGTAAAGTCGTGTAAGTAACTGCTTAACTCACCTGAACAAGTTCATCACCTACAATTTCTCTGTATGCTTTGAGTACTTTTCCATTGTCTTTTCTGGTAAATGTGCCCACAAGTTTATTTCCTTCCAGGTTCCAATTTCCCTATAATGGGAAAAAAACCCCAAATATTTTGCAACAGTTCTGACACTGATTTGATTTGAATGCTGCAGAATGCTTTCAAAGATAAAACTAAAACAGTGTAATAATGTTTTTATAGAAAGGCTGTAAAAATGAAATTTTAATAAAACCATTAGTTCATTTATTTGCATAATAGTCAAGCTAGATATTTTTTAGTGGCCAGTACACCTTATTTTAATTAAGTGTATCAACAAAGGTAGTTTCCTATAAATACCCACTCTGTACTCTAGGTGGTGGCCTTGAGTATTGGAATAAGTAAAATTACAATCACCTGGATTTCATCGTATGAAGATTGCCACGTGCTCCACATTTTTGGGCTCTCTATGGAACCCTGGGTTCCACAGGTGAACCATTACCAGTTAAGACTACCTTGTGCTTTTGTATATAAGCTGCAAGAAGCATTCCTGAACAATCACTCTTGCAAAGTAAAATTTAAATTTAACACTAGGAAGACAACTAATTTATCTTGAAACTGTACCTCATGAAGATATCATCATATAAAAAATACAAAATTGTACAGGAAGACTCTTACATTCATTTCAGTCCCATCAGCCAGGCTGTAGTCAAAATTGGCTCCCAGGGTGAATTCCAGCTCTATGGTACGGAAGTTACTGGCTTCTTTGACAGTAAATTTGTTCCCATCTTGCTGGATAGTGATCTTCAGATTGTCATGGGCACCCAGCTTTCTCTTCATCATGTTAACACCTGGCAAAATCAATTAACATCCATCGGAAAAGAAACACCCAAACCCCTTGGGGATCATATTTGTCTCTTTTTAGTGACTTTCACGTGGTCCAAGAGAGTTTATTCCAGCATTCTGACCCAATTTTTTGTTCTTTTTCTCTTTTTATTGAGGCCATGTTCACCAGTACACATATAATACAAACCACTGTCTAACTCGGGTGGTTATGTTTATATCCACATAATGCACAGTCTGTGCAAACTTAAAGTAAGTATCAGGATGTTAGAATTACTTGTGTTTCTATAAAATTGAAGAATGATGATTTCCTCCCTGGGTAATTTTTCAAATAGTTTAATGTTATCAAAATAATGTTCTTGCTATAGAATTCTCCTTATAGTTTATATTGCAAATTCTCTGAGCCTTTTCCTCAAATGTGGACTTAGGGATTTTTTTTTTCTGCTGAAATAAAGCTGGAATTAGTTGAAGTGCTCAAGATTAATATAACATAATCAGAACATTTCTCAGCACCTTTTATCCTCCCCCCCCCATGAAATATTTTGAAAGTCAATGCAGTACACTGTGCAAGGGCGGAGCAGATAGTGGAAGGACAGGCTGTCCCAGAGGTAGTTCAGAGGCAGCTGGAGTTTGTATTCAGCTGGAGTGGCATTTTTCCTGCAGAAGGCATTGGAAAAGTGAGACTCACCCAGCGCCTCCATGAACTTCTCATAGTTTTCATTTCTGTCTATTTTCCAAGTGCCGTTGAAGGCCATGGCTGGGTCTGCAGCAGCTGCTCTGAGGTGATGTGTCTTTGCCAAGGGAATTTATGTGCTGCCTTATCTGGAGAGCAATTTACAGGATGATGTGGCTGACTAAAGCTCAACTGATGCACTGATCTTTGCAAGGAGAACTTTAGTTTAATCAAATTTCCAGTCCTGACAACACTGCTTGCTGAATCTCTCTCTTATTGCCCCCAGATCATGACAGTATCTTTATTGCTCATCTTAATAAAAAATTGCTAATCCATTCATTCCATCCACCATGCATAGGAAAAATCAGATATCTAGTGAAAGCAGTAATTAAAATAAGAGCATTTCTTGATATTTTCTATCTCTACTGTATCTTCATGCTTTTGTGAGAGCCTTTATGCAACTGGAGAAAATATTATTTACCCAACAAACCAAACACAAATGTCTACTTTGTCCATTATAATTTGGTAGATGTCTGTTCTGCTCAACATCATAAGCAAAGGGCAGATGATTCACTGAATGTCTGCAGTTGTTTCAAAAAGCAGTCCTCTTGTTTCCTATCTAATGCTGAGCTATGAAAATTGGGATGATGTTCTGTATTCACGTGCTCACTCTTTAACATGCAGTTTAAATTCTGAGCAGCTTCTACAAATTTTCTTCACTACAACACATCAGTGAACACTATGGGTATCTGACACATTCCTACAACAGAAAAGAGGTGCAGCTGAGTGAATTTACCTGATGTGGTTGGTTTCTCTAATTCTATGATTTTGCCTGTTCAAGGAGAATGCAGAACATGAGTCTTTCCTGACTTAGCTGCTTCTTCCCCTCTAATTGGTGCTACTTCAAACTGAGCAAAACTATTGACCCAGCTTTTGCCTTTGCCCAGTTAAGGGTTATAGTTATTCTGTTCCCAGGGATGCCAGCAGCTTTGTTCTGTGTTACCTTCAAAATGTAAATGTAAATCCCAGTTGGTCAACGTGCATTTAACAACAACAGTTAGGTCTCAGTATGTGGTTTTTACATTTACTTTCTTTCCACGATTTCTTGCAGTTTTCTATCACCTGAGTAACTCTGTGTCTCAAAAAATGTCATAGCCCATGCCCAGACCTGAGCTAATCACAGATGTCCATCTTACCCTTCAGCCAGCTCAGGAGATGGGCAAACTGAGTTTCTACTTAGAGCTAAATTGTCTTTTTGTTGCATTGGCTCGTGTCTTGACCTTTGTAGTTATCACTGTCAGTCTGTCTTATCTGTTGAGTATCTATACATAAACAAAAACACCTGCTGTCTAGTTATAGTTCATCCAATTTATTGTTACATAACAAAATTGGTAACTCTCTTTAGTCTTTGCAGAGGTTCTTTCTGATGGTGATGTGCTGCAGCTTCTGCTGTATCCAGTAGAAAACTGAGGCCTGAAATAATGTGAATTACTCACATCATTTGAGGCATCTGTATCTGTAAAATCTAACAACTAGGGAATGACCTTTTATTTTGAGCATTTCAAGAAAGCTTTTTTTAGGTGTGTTCTGCATTCTCCCCGAGAACCTGCTCTTTCATTTAATTTAAGAAATTCTAAGGTATCTGAAGTTAGTGTTTATATATTTAAACAAGGTTAATGCTACCAATTAATTTCCACATTTGATTCCAGCCTGTCTGCTTAACCTCTGAAAAGGTAACTCAGAGTAGTGACATTCTGCAGGTTAAGTATAATTTCTACACCAAACTTACTCCAGCAGCTTTTCTGAACCTTAAAAAGGAGGGAGGTGGTTGTGGAGCAAGTCTTCAACTACCAGGAAGATTCTCAGATGTGCTTTTCCAATCAGTTATCTGACAATTTGTTGTGTCCCCCCTTGTGATTCTTTAGTGTCTCTCAGAAGTCAGGCCAACTCCAGACCTTTTCACCGTGGGAGCAGCGAGTAGCTGGGTCCTAAATTTCCCATCTGAGCTTGTTGTTCCATTCCTGTCCCAGTTTCCCCTTCCTTGACATTTTTTTCACTGGGCATGAGTCCCTCGGGTCCTGTTCAGATCAGCCCCACAGATCTGTCAGTTAAGTAAGAACCACGGGTGGTCAATATTTATGAGTTTGATGGTTGGTGTAGTGCTGACAGCATAAAGAACTGTTTTTCTCTGAGGTCTGGTGGAATGTCACTGCTACAACAAGGGACTGTCTTTAATCTCTCACAATTTACATGAGTTACTTAGGACTGTTAATGCACTAAAATATGCAAAATCTGACTTCATTTTTTTTACATGTACTGGAATCATATGATATGTACTTCGCTCAGAGTACTTTTGTGTTCCTATAATAGCTGGTTTTCCCTTTAAAGTGTTTCTATAGATTTTTTTTTTTAGTCTGAATATTCCACAACCCTTTTCCTTCTTCTCTCTACCTCTTCCTTGTGTGATTTACTTCCTTGTTTTACTTAGATGGTGTCTTGAAATCTTTATTTTTTAGTGTTACTGGATCCAGGAAAGTCTTGAAAGCTAAGGGTCTATTCTTGGCTTTGTGGCTTTCTGCAGCGTGCCAGCTTCAGAACACTGAAAACGGGCAAACATTAACTTTGAAGTTTGATCTTTAAGTGATGTGGATGGGAATAAATTATTAACTTAAATGGTCGTGCCAATCTCATCGTGCCGATCTGTGATTATCACAGCGAGCTGTATTGTGATGGTAATTAACAATGAGGTTCCAAAGATCAGGGTGACAAAAAGGCTTTTGCAGTGGGTTGTGCTTATCTATCCTCTTTGTTGTTTCGTGGTTTGCACTGGAGTTGTTCCTGCCTGAAATTAGCTGGGACAATAGAACTCAGCTTTACCACCGAGTGATTAAGGCTTGATGCCAGCCTAAACATAATATGCATCTGAAAATATTAATATATACAGTGTTATGTAATGAAAGAGAGATTAATCCCTGGTAAAACTATGCAGATTGCTTTGGCAGTATTTCTGTGTGTTTTCTACTGTCGGTATGTCTTGGGATGGATTGCAAAGATGGCTGGGCACTTAAATCATTTAAGTGCCCCTGGCCTCCTTATTGTGAAGTTTTACTAAGAGTTTTAAAAACCACAATACTCCATTTTATATCAATATGGTAAACAGATAATTCCATGCCAGCAAAGGCAACTTCAGCATAACTCTGGGTGGCCTGGCAACGGGGAGCTTGGTGGAGCCTAACTAATGCCATCTCTTGGATACATCATTTCAAAGTACATGTTGTGGTTGAGTGTAGTACTGCAGCAGGATTGGATTGGTTTGGATAGATATTGTCCTACTCCAGCTGCCTCTTTGCTAAATTTCTGGTTTTGTTTTGGCTTAAGGAGAATCTCATGGATGCTGCTACCATGCAATCTGTTCAACATGAGGATTCAACATTGGAAGATTACTTAGAAATTTCCAGTGAGTATGGATCCATTTGTCTGATTAGTTAGTGCTGAGTCTTAAAACTTACTCTTAAGTGACTGTATGCACCCCTTCTTCATTTCTGGGTAATGGCTCTGATCTGTAAAGTGCTGCATGGTTTTGAGAGCTGCTTATTGAGAGAACTGAAGTGCATGAGCTAATAAGCTCCAGGTTAAAAAAAATCTAGAAGCAAAATCTAGGATTTTCTTAAAGCAGTAACAACCCTGGTATTTACTTCATCCAATTACTGCGTGTTAAAATGAATCCTAGGATTACCTAAAATAGTAGAATCTGGTCTTGTTTCAGTGCAAAGAGGGTGACAGTGAACAATGGCCAATAAAAATAAGTGTGCTTCTCTAGGAAAGGTTATATGAATCTCTGAGTATTAGTGCCATTTGTCATCTGCCACATAGAGACTTTGTGTCAGGCTTATCTAGGGTATTGAAATCTATACCTGAATACTCTTTTCCTGTATTCTCCAGTTTCTTTTTGTTCAGAATGTGGAATGTGATCAAAGGGTGGGGGTGAGTTATAGTCCAATAAACTAACAACGTGTACAGTATTGGAAGTCTGCATCAGTCATTTCAGTTTCTCCAAAATCTGAACTGCATTTTTAGCTCATTTCAACATAGCTTTTTGCTTATTGTACACTTTTGCTCTTGGTTATGATGTAGCTCCAAACTCCACCGGAGATTATTGTGATTATCTGAATTAGTGACTTGAATCTGATCTTATCTGAAAAAAACAGTGAGTTTCAGAGTTCTTCTGAGCTCGGCATAAAAGCAAGAGAGCACCCTATATGGCTCAGATATTTAAATATTTGTGTATGCAAAAGGAAAAGATGGTTTCTGATAAAACATTCTTTTCTTCGTGTCTCACATAAGAGCAGAACAGACATTCATATCTTGGTTCTCTTTCCAGGACAGAAATGGACTTTCTATGTGACCTTGATCAAATTCCCCCCCTACTTATCTGTAAAATGTACTTTCCTTCCATTAAGCAGCTGTTTATACCATAAAATAAATTGCCAGTGACTTGATTAACTAGTACAGTGAAAGGATTCTGAATGCCTATATGTGAATGTATCATGTAAACTAGTGGTATGATTTAACCATGGGCTTTACTTTTTTTGGTGCTGTTAAACAAAAGAAACCCCTGTATAGATTTTCAGCCATTACTAAGCACTGGGTGGGCAGGAGAAGGCTATGGCCTAAAAATTATTTCCTAAAAATCCTAAAGGGTGGGATTTCATAGGAATCTGAAATGCATGTCAGCAACAGCTGTCACCACTCTTACTAAAATTATGGCTGGAGGAAAGAGCCATTGTCTTTTTACATTTGTTAAAAAGGCATCACTGTTGTGGAAGATGTGAAAGACCAAGTGTAAAATTCTTTCACGTCTTCACTAAAAATGCCCTTGCTCAAGGTTAGATTCTGGGTAAGAAATGTATTCCAGTACTCCCTCCTGCTGAAAACTGTGCCACTGCTCAGGGGTGAATTCAAACATTCAGCAGGCCAGAAGGACTGAGCAGGAGCACGACTAGGTTGGGCTGGAAAGGCTGCAATCCCAGCAGCAAATGGATGCCTGATGTCTGGAGATATACATGGGCAGTTGTGCAGTTG